AAAGAACTTCAAATTTCGCATTTACACTAGAGCTCAAACGAAGTGTTCTTAAAAACGACTGCAAAGTTTTCAACGACAATTTCCGTGCAACTTTTACTCTTCTATAATATTCTCAAAGTAATAACTTATTTCCACCAGTAGGAAACAGAAAAATTGATAATAATTCAAATAAATGTACATTGGGCGGCGGTAGATGGCAGCTGTCAAGGATATGAGGCAAGTCCGGGAAGCTAGCCTAAACCAAAGAAATTAGGAAACTAATTAATACAAGAAAATCTGTGTCATTCTGATGCACCACTAGTTTTGAAAAATTGTACATGGCTTTATTCCAAGATCGATTTTTCAACAGATTTTATTGAGGAAAAATCCCTATCCTCAATTGTGGGTAGAAACCGAAAAGAGTTTGAACGTTTGCAATTTTCGAAAAATAAGCAATTGCAAGAATATCGAGCAAACTTACGTATTATTTTCCCTATTCCGAGCCAAAGTTAATCAAAAATTTTGAAAGCCTTTGAGAAAATTTTTTGAATGTTTTTGAGGCTGCTGAAGATATCCTATTGAAACACACCAAAATCTTGAGGTAGCTCAATCGATTGGGATAATTCAAATTGGGAAATCGGGCTCCACTGTTTTGGCGCTAGCTTTGACCACGCAAGACGGACATAGACGGTTTGAAGACAGCGAACAACGTTTGCGGTCACGGATTTCGGTATCTAAGATCCACATCTAATTTTCGTTGGAAGTTCCTGATTTTTAGTGAATTGCAAAAGTTCGACCATTTTATCGGCAGACTTTCTACAACGCACAATATTGAAGGAACGATTTGATTAATAAAATCTTGCTAAAAGACAGTAGTTCTTTAAATACATAAGTTACTATTTTCAAACGTAACATTCACGTAGTTTTGCGTGAAAAATAAGCAATTTCAAAAAAATATTTTCTCAAAAACGACTCCATTTTTTCCTCGTACGTAGCAAATGGAAGTTAAAAAAATGGTAATAGACCCATTTTCGCAACCAATAAACATTGCAAAAAATTAAACTCTCTGTATTTTCGAAAATTGCAAAAAATAACACTGCAAAAGTACAATGCTGATGGTAGAGAAATTTTGTCTTAATTTATATTAGTTCTAAAAACTAGATCTTTAAAGATGGTCATATACATTTTTATGGGTAGTTTTCATCTAATTTCTGGTTGAAGTTGTTGCATTTTATACAAAAATCTCAAACATGGCCCCAAATTTTCTAATAGAGAGAAAATAACCATTAAAACGGCGGAAGCCTCATTTTCCTTCAACTTTTCGTATGTTCAAAAACATTTGCTTCGTCTTCGTCAACGCAGCGCGTCTCTGAACCCTTGTTGGGCGTTGGGCGTCTGGCATAGAGTAATCCTTCCTTATTATTTTCGTCAAGACTCGTCTCGTCACATCGCAGTCAGCCAGTTGTCACTTGACAGTTGTCAGGACTCGTCACGTCGCAGTCCTTTATTCCTTCGACCAGGGGCTAGGAGCTGTTAGACTCCACCCAACTAGGAAACCGCGAAATCTCGCATTCGCTCAACCTCCGTAACTTCACAGAGCATAATTAAGAAATTCGGCTAGCAACGCTGGCTATTGCTTATGTTCGAAAACTACTAGAAAATACGAGCTAGTTTTATCAAAGTTACGTTTCACACTTGGTGTGTCAGTCACAGAAACGTACGAGCACGCTTTCGGACGCATATTCACTTTTGCACACGTCCACCTGCCCCGAGGAAGCCTGCGACTTGTCAGGCGAAACGTCGACCTCAGCCAGCGACGCGGCGTCTCCCGAATAGCAAAGAATTTATAGCGTTTTCACTGTTGATTCTTAATTATGACAGTATATGTAAAAATGTAGGATGATACCCAATTTGGTCGGACTTAGCTTGTGACGCCATTAAAGATGGCAAAAAACATCAGTTTGACACAGAAAAGTCTTTACACACTTTTTGATATCTCGTATCGTTTCTGAGTTAGGGTGCACTGTTTGAATATGTGAAGTAAAACGTTGCTCTGGAGGTATAAATATTGACATTTGAAGCAAATTTTAGAAAAGTAACTTGCGATTCCATATCAGATTTTGATGCAATTTTGTATTCCGTCCCACATATCTCAAAGGATCCTGTCTTCTTAAAAGGAACAATCAGACATCGCAATAATTTTGATGAAATGCTAAGCTCTGCAACTGAACTTGCTAATTCGTGCAATGTAGATGAAGATCCCCCCCACACACACACACACACATACACATACCTTCAAGCAGACGAAAAAAGAAAACTGTTCGGTTTTCATGATAGTACAATGATCCGAAAGACAATTTCCGCAAACAGTTTGAACCGCATTTCCGAATAGACGACTGTTATTGACACTACAGTTTCATCTATAGAAGAAAGGTTTCAACTGCTTAAAGAGCAAAGTGATGTGTTTAATTTTGTATATTTCTTCAACAAAATAGCAGAAATTATTTAATTAGGCATACTAAAAAATAGCATAAATCTATCATTTAAACTGACCGATCAAACTTATACAGATATACTAAAAGATATAAAAGCAATAGAACTTGCAGATGAACTAAATACAATTCCAAAATTTCTCAAATCAAAATCATCACCAATTGGAGCATTATAATTCATATATGAATAAAGAACTTCGTACGGCAAGAAAGTAATAAAGTAACCGGGCCATTCCCTAATATTACCGTGATAATACACATTATGACAGTTACATTAGCCATCGGAGAAAAATCAGTCTCAAAATTAAAAATTATTAGTTTAAACACCTCCTACGATCACAATAAAAATTAACAGATCTGGCAATGATACCAATTTAAAGTGAAATATGCAATAATATTTATTTAGAAAGTTTCATTAAAAAAATTTGCAAGTTTGAAAGTTCGAAAAGTGCCATATTTTATATTCTACATAGATTCTATTTACTATTTAATAAATCAATAATAACACTTCAGTGTAAACTATTTTAAAAAACCAAACTTTTCAAAAGTAGGTAATTAAAGTATTCCTTTTGAAAGCGGCAAAATGTACTCGCACCAGGGCGGCAAATCAGTGCGCGACGGCCCTGTTCAATTAGAACCTACCATTATGTGCAGCAGTGGCTGAATAATAATAATAATAATAATAATAATAATAATAATAATAATAATAATAATAATAATAATAATAAGAAGAAGAAGAAGAAGAAGAAGAAGAAGAAGAAGAAGAAGAAGAAGAAGAAGAAGAAGAAGAATCCGCTAGTGTAGGAGTGGAAGAAGTTTGGCGAGCACCTGAGACCAATTGCAACAGCACGTCTTGCATCACCCCAGGAATTACATTTCCTCGTTGAGTGGGCGTGCAAAGATTAATGCGTCTGTAAATGCGAGTGCAGAAAGAGTGATCTAAACTCCTCAAGCATATGTGGTAATTCCTCAGGCCTAGGATGTGATAACAGTGACATGAACATCATAGACGAAGATGCAGAAGAGGAGGGTGCTATTTTTTTTGAAGAGGACTGAACTTCAAAACTTTTAATAAAATGTGGTTGCATATATAGCCAAATATGTCTATTTTCTAAAGAAAAACCTCCAAAAGCTGTAGTTTTAAAAATATTATTAAAAACGATATAATTATATACCATACTTATTGTACAGCTAATATTTTTATATTTTAAAACATTTATAGATATTCATTCTTAATGCGCCATTTTACAGAGAAAGTTCAAAGTGAGGTTACTCTGTACCACAAGTTTATATGTCCGAGGCCGGAGGAAGCCTCTTTGCCCTTAAAAAGGAGCGCTCCTTGAAAAGGTGGTTAGGTTGTCGTTCCTTCAAGGGTTTATCACTAACATATCACCGGCCACTAACCGCAATGTGCTTTTACAAAACATAATTCTGCATAAAAATAGTTTCCTGAGAGATAATGTCATATTTTTTAAAAATCTCTAGGAATTAAGAAAAATATCTACTTGTACACCCTCCATAATCGCTCACTTCAACAAGAATATACAGGACCATTTTTGTTCGCAACTTAATGAAGATTACTTTTATTTATGGTACGTTTTGCGCTAAATCACATATTTTTCGGAATATTGAAGAAAAACTTATGGAAACTACTAATTTACCAACTTCTCCCCATCCCCCAAGCACGACGCTCAAAATGATGTAACTTTTTAGCAAATTATATGTGGACTGTATTGATCAAATTGTAGTTGGACAGAAACAGAAGTTTTGGTTTGATTGCACCATACTAAAAAGATGTGTTCCTCAGCTGCATTTTAACTCTATAACTAAACTATTGTGAACATGAACATTTCTAAATAGGATTTTTTTTTTCATTTTGGCCATATTTTGAGGTTGAGAATCACTGTGCAACAGCACGACAACAGCGTCTAAGTCCTCAGATTTTCGTCGTGCTCATATAGATGTTGCTTTGAAATTCCAATCACTACTGAAAAACCGGGTTGTTAGTCGGTCAGTGTTTAGCAGAGAGCCCAATTTCGTTGTACTGACGGTTGGTCCGACAAATTAGTCCACATGTATAGGCCTTTAGGGTTGTTTTTCGCCATTTATCTCGTGACAAAATATTTCTAAAAGAGCGCAATGACACCCGAAACCAACATTTCATGTTTCCACGTTGCTTAATCAATTTAGAGAATGAAAACTTTTAGTTCCTTGCTGTTTAATGTCCATACTCCTGAACACGTTAAAAATCTCAAGAAGTGTGGAATTCTTTTGCCAAGAAGTTTCGCAAGTTTTCTTGAGCCCTAAATTTGCTCGCTGTGAGAGGAGTGGGGTTAGGTTATTTCGACGATCAGTCTTAAATCAAATCTGTAGCTAGTTTTTTTTTTTAATGCAAAATAGTTTCTAGTACAGAGGAACGAACATTTCTGGTTATCAGATTTTGTGTAACGTTTGTTGCTATTCCTTAGAGTGGATTCAACTGTTCAGAAGTCAACGCCGTTGATAAAGCCGCGCTTTGATTAAGGAGTGGGTATATGCAGTGATCCCAACATTATAAACTTCACTAGAGCTCACTGGGGACCAGAGAGTATATACCTGGGGGACATAAGTCCGGGGGAAAACGCGCGTGTATAATACAAAATGGTTTAATCTTTCCTTGTACGTTTGTTATGTTGGTGTACCTGCTCTGAAAGAGTCTCACGCACTCTCTGGATTCATGTGAAACTAATTTTTCGCGCTGTTTGATGAAAGAGGTGTATCAGAGGTTAGCGAACAACGAGCAATGTTAAGTGGTGTTGATGGTGATCATAATGAATGTAACGCGCAATTAAAATAGTCAACGACTCAAACTTTCCTGCGTCAGTGGAATCTTTTATCCTGCTAACGTTATTGTTAAGAAAGCGAAAATAATGAAATGACATTTAGCAGTCAGTGATATTGGCAATGGAAAGCAGTGCAAATTCTTATAGCCCGTCACCATCTAATGCTTCTACGCCCAACAGAAAAGCAAGAACACCGTTCCTCACACCATGCAGGCGTATGGGATTGGCTCGAAAATCACCTGCTTCTTCTGCTTGGCATGCAAACAAACCGTCTCCAGGCGCTGTCTCACCTTATACATCCTCATTAAAAGTAGATAAAGATGCAGATACAATGCATAATGATCTTGAGAGATTGCAAGGGCAAATGACACCAACAAGGAATACAAGATTATTCAACAGACATCAGTTAACTAAGAGACTTAAAACAAACTTATCTTCTCCTCAAAGTTGTGATGAAAAAAAGAAAGAGAACTCAGTGGTTTCCAGTGATCTACAATCAGATGATCAAATAACGAAATCTCAAATCATAATGGCTGAAAATAGTAAAGTAGAGAATGATGGGAATGAAATTTTACTTCCTGCTGGAGATATTACTGAAGATACATTAAAAGAAGTCCGTAAAAGGCTAAAGGAAAAAGAAGAAAAATTAAAAGACCTTAAACTTGCTCAGCTTTATAAAAGGAAGGTAAATATAATTCTATATTACAATTACTTGTAAAATAAGATTTGTGTGATCCTTTTAAACCTAATGTTTTAAAATTAAAATGTTCAGCTACCAGTCATAGAATGGTGCTTTATATGAAAGTGTTTATTTCAGGCACTTGAGGTTATATTTTCTTTAATGAACTGGCTTGAAACAATTGCTCTTTTAGTTTTGCTTGACTAGACATTAAAAAAAATATTTTTGCTTTATTTAGTAAAAAAAATATATATATATTTAAAAAAACAACTTAAGAACCTGTATGTGACATGAGAGAGAAGATCCACCACCACCATTTTGCAAGGGAAAGGAATAACATGAAAAAACATTTACAATTTTTATGTGATATTGCTACCTGCTATAGCTATGCCTAATCTCATTGTTGTATTTTTACAAAAATTGTATTTTTCTGGAAATATTTCTTCACAATTTTCAAGGTTATATTTTTTGTGCATTTGTCAGATACTTGGATGTGAAGAATGGTAATTGAAATTTCACAGAAAAATTAAATGTAAAACTAGTTTTATACACATCACAAGCCATTATAAGTGAATAATCTCTATTATTTGTTGTCCTTGAAATCAGTTGGAATAGACATTTTCTTCATGAAGGCTAGTAATCTTGATATCCTCTATAATTTCAGGATATGTATTCTAGAATGCTGAATTTAGTTTGTAATAACATTCAGTGAACTTTCATTTACACTAATTTTAAAGATGGAAATTAAAAACAGTGTTTGTATTATTCCATTATGATATACAATATCACAGTTTCCTTGATGTTACGGTGAAGTTTGTTATGAGAAATTGTACCATCAAGAATACTATAGTTGATTGTCTGATAAAAATTAATGTATTTCATCATTCAGTTCAGTTTGAAGTTTTTAATGTATTTAAATATGTAGTTGTAAAGAACCTCCCCCAAAAAATGTACTTTTTCTTCAAAAAATAATAAGATGCCTAGAAAATGTGTGGTTATAATTATGAATTAATTGCTTTTCTTCACTTCAAAACAGTTTAGTGATTAAAAATTAAGTGTCTAGTCGATGATATTAGTCATCTCTTGAAGGGTCTTTTTTTAGATTAAATATTGATTGATGTGGGGACGAAGTATTCTTCATCATATCACATCCAGTAAAACTTCATTAAATTTTCCTTTTGCGCCTAACCTTTAAGCATGTCATGTTACTATTAACGTTAACTATATGTACTATTTTAATATCCTAACCTCCATATTTATTTTCAGCATGATGTTATTATCCTTCAGAAACTAATACATACATGGCTTGAAGGATGCCAAACAGCATTACAAGAACTGCAGACAGTGTTACTTAATCAAGGCCATCAGTTTACTATAGAACAGCTGTTGAATCAACTGAATATTCCCCACGAATTAGTGAAGTATCGAAGAGATACAGAGGACTTTGAAAGCAATGAAATGAACATAATTTAAGTAACTATTTATACTCATTTTTTATGCCATCAGTGTTGGAGAAGTTTCTGTATAATTTAGGTGTAATCTTGTCCAAGAAATGGTTAATAGTTTAGTTTGCAAAAGGTTCAACACTGGATGTATGCTCATTTGATATCACTACCAAAAAAAATCTTATTTATCTATAAATCATATTTATTTTTGCAATAAAGTTATTCTTTTACAAAACTACCATTTAATTTTTGTTACAAGCTAATGTTAAAACCTATGAGGTCGTATAGGCTGATCTGGGTTGAACAATTGGGGATCGTTGGCATACGCTATATCTCTTGTATAGCCACCCATCAAACCTACAAACAAACAATTGAATAATGATATGTTTCCATATACACTTAAGTAATGGAGATAAATGCAATTACCAGCTTGTTGGGCTTTCCATATTTCCTTTTCCACTCTTTCTTGTTGTGCTTTACAAAGTCTAGTAATATGCCGACCATATATTCTTCCAGTATATCGGGACACAAACTGTGACAGCAGTCTTACATTTTTGTAGTCCACTCTGATATTATGTTCACACAAAATACACTTTATTTTCTCCTTTTCAAAGGGATTTTTGATATCTTCAAGGGGCTAAAATTTAAGAAATATGTAATACAAATAATCATATTTTGAAAATACAAGTTTCTGTCATTCTCACCATATCTGGATCAGATTCCTTTTTCAAATCATCATAACCTGATGAATTTTCTTTGATACTAGAGGTGAAGGAGCGAACTCTGGCAACTTGAAGGCTGGCCCTCAAATCTAAAACATGTTGAGGTTAGAACGCAACAAGACGCGCATAAACAAGATTCGGAATTTAACTTACTCATGAATGACTTCAATATATTGCCAGTTTTGGAAATGGCTGGCATGAGTGCAGACATGACCCTTCTGACTTCACTAACTTCTGTAATGCCAATAATGCTTCCGTTTATGTGCACCGGTGGCCGACAGCCATGAACGTCTAATTCTCCCTCCACACTTCTTTTTTTACGAAAGAATTTTCCACAGTTGGTAGAATTGATGGGATCAAAATAATTTACGCGCGTAAATCGCGTTTTGTGAATGATTCGAAATTGACAGAAAATGTAATCGAATGTAAATAGGCATTTATCGACTGAAGACTAAGGTGTTCCGATTCTTTACATTTATTGAAAGCAATAAGCAGGTATAATTGTATTTTGTAATTCCTTATTTATGCAATTGTATTTTAAAAAACGTATTTCTAAGCTTCATTCAAAATATCACAACATTACTGGGGAAATACTGAAATTGTGTTTTATATATGCAGTAAAACATTTCAATTTAATTTTTTTACTATGTGAGGTTTTCTTCTTAAAAATCAATTGAAGTTAAACAGTTTCAGTTCTACCTTGTGCAATTCTAGCAGTGTACAAATTGCTAGCAGTGTACAAGCTGATATAACAAAATTTTAGTTCCAAAAATGAATAGTAATATTTTCAGAGAGAACATGGTAATAGCTACTTCTATGATGACTATCACGAACAAACATATTTTTGATGTTCTTTGAAAAAAATCTATTATGTTATTACCTTACTTAAAAGTATTACTTTAAATTTTAACCAACCCGTGACCTTTCGGCTTGGCTAAAATATAACTGCTACTAGAGTAATCCCTCATTGTCACGCACACTAGCCCCTTCCTCCAATTTTCAAATCCTTACGGCACACGTCTTTGTTTTGATGCAACCAAAGCGGTTACTGACGACAAAAGATAACATGGTGAGAAGTTTTCTCAAATTCTTTCGCGCGCCCCCGTATTTATGCTTACAATGATCAGACATAATCCTTTCTCGCCTTGATCTCTCCTGGGGGGATATAATAAGTATTTGAGCCGATAGTGATTTGCGTGCTATTTCTATTCAATCTTGTAAAGCGCTTATCAAGCCGCATAAGAAAATGTAAAATAAAAAATAATAAAAAACTTTTCTGCCCACTACAAACTTTCATAGAAAAGACGACAGTATTGTATTGTATTGTATTGTATTGTATTGTATTGTATTGTATTTCGTAGTAGAGACGAAGTAGTATTGTAAAGCTAAAGCTGAAAGTTCGAATGTTTTGACAGAAACACTATTTTGTATATCCAAAAAGTGGATAAATCTTTCGGCTCATTCACAAATTTTTAACACTAAACTGGGAGTTCGAGGCAAGATTACGAAGGGGTAGGGATGGTAATGTAACTTAAGTACTTTACTGTACAGTCTCCAGGCGCATGTAAGATATCCATGCCCTATTCTTTGTTCGGGCACACTAATTCTGCGAAATGTCACAGCAATCGCTGTCTTCCACCTACAGAGAGACCTTACTCCGTCAACACTTTCTGGTTACGTTGATCACACACGAATACCTAGAAGTAGCCGTGGCACCGCCTGTCAAGCGAAGTAAGAGATATGAGCTGTCACACGCCTCAAAACAGTCGAAGACATTTTCACGTTCGTAACTAAAAGGTTAAGGACAGAGGGCGCGGTTATTATTTCTATACATTTAAGACGATTCTACATTTTTTTCATTTTTATTTTTTCTGTACTTTTAACATTTTAATTGCCTCCCCTCCCTGGATCTTGGTTTCTTTTGGGGGGAGGGGGTGCGTGGCTTCCTCGATCCGACACTACGATTACATCAGTAACATATTTAACAGCTTGAATTACGCATCTGAATTATTTTTATAAAAATACGTCATTTTGAAAGGAATTTAAGAGTATTTTATCGATCATATTTGGCGGTGTTTTAGAGCATCAAAAATCCGCCCCTTAATTATTGTACTTGTATTTCCCCATCCTAGGGATCCTATATCAACTGCCGACTGAGTCGAGTGTAATCGGTACATTATGATAATTTATTCAAAATGTGTTTGCCGAATGTGTCGTATTACATATTATGTAGAATGGTCCAGGCTTAACTCAGCACATGCTGCCATACAATTTTATTCGTTTCAATGATTACCCGAACATATTTTTACAGAGTAGAAAAAGTTATGTAAAGCTGCACGAAAAAACGACGAATTTTCAAAAGAAAAACTTATTAGAAGGCCCTGGTAACGAAAAACTGGATCCATTCCATGGTGTAGCCAGAATCTAATCTGTGGGTCCTTGAAACCGAATGACGATAAAACGTCTGTCTGTCCGTCTGTGAACCATGCTTATGTCTAAAATGTTTAGCCGATTTTCTCCAAAAAATGATATTCCCCAATTGATCTGACAATGTCACTGCCCCTGGAATTTGAAACCGGTATTTTAATTTTGAGGGGTACTTTATATGAAACCTCTGGGGCATTTTCAACAAAAAAAAAGGCTCTATTGTTGTTTTTTTTTATTAAATTGGTTTGTTAGAAAACGTTAAGGATGTTTAAGAGAATGGTACAGGTCTCACGTTCGTTGAAAATCCTGATTTTAATTTCAAAATTATTTCGGGTTCTTCCTACAAGTACAATATTATGAAGATAAGAGATTTTTCCCATAATGAAATTAGGTAAAAGGTAGATTTTGAAGTAATGTCACGTTCAATTTTTCGAAAATTTGATTTTTTTTTTGCGTGAAAATATAGGCGAGACCGTGCGTACTAATTACTACTAGTTACTTGAAAATTTCGTGACGTCGAAATAGTTATTGAATTTTGTTGGGGAGGGGGGAATTTCCCTCATTATACCCCTGCCCGTGGATCCGCGCTGCGTCATCAGCGTTAGGTGACGTGCGTCAACGCAACGCGTGTCAAACCTAATTTATTGTGTACTCAGAAACCACGTTTTGTGTCCCCGATGCCGAAAAAAAAAGAGAGAAAAAAAAAGTTAATGCAACACGGTTTTGGTCAACACAAGTGCCTAAAACCGTTCATAAGAAAATTTGCTCTGCGAATTTGTAACGGGTATTCTGACGGTATTTTACATGGAACCTCAAACTTTTCTCGAAAATGGGTTGCAATTTTTGACTCATTCCCCCTACCCCCTTGGATAGAGCAAAATATCTCTTTAAAAAATGGCGAATGTATAACTTTGTTTAAAATCTCTCAATTTTTGAATTTTTTTCTTTTGCTTGCATTTTTCAGCTACAATGTTAAGATAGACTCCTTCCCTCAATGATATTTGTTCAATAACTAACTACCAGAAGATGCGGCATTTCCCAGACAGCCAAGTAGTTACCGACTCTGGCCGACACTCTCAAATATGTTCAAAATTACATCTTTAAAGGCCATATACAATTTTTTTTTGAAAATGGGAGTAGTTTTCATCTAAAATAAAGATAAAAATATTTTCTCAAAAAGGTTTCCAATTATTTCTTGACTAAACTTATAAAAATAGCACATTCCATTTTGTTGACATCTATTTTCGAAAGGTAAATTTTCTCCCCAACAACTTCAATATCCTTTTATTAATGAAATTGTTTTTTCTCTTGGGCTGTCAATAAAAATCTCTTAATTTTTGAAAACGGCAAAATGAAATGTTCCAGCTTTGCCTTTCAGGCTTCAAGATGATTGTGTACCGGTGAAGATGGTTGTGTAGGAGAAACATGAACTGCACACTAAATCTCAGAGTGAAAGTTTGGATCCCTGTGTACAATAAATAAAATACTATTAATAATAAAAAATTAAAAAAAATGAAAGTAAATATCAACCTTTGTCATGAAGGATATCCCTAAAATGCCTATTTAATGAATTGGATATACACCCCCCCCCACACACACACATTTTGTTCAGAATTTATGTTGTAAACATTTTTGTGCTGCAATACAAACCGGTCTATCAATACCTGTATCTTGGTAATATTTTTTTACACTAGAATGGCGGTGAAATTGATATATTTAGAACAGCGGTTTGGGGTCATTTTGATACCACGAATACAATGTATTAAAATTCGAATTGTTTTTCAAAATAGAGCTTTATTTTGGCTAGTATATTATTCTTACACAACTGAAAAGCATCTTTAACATTTAAATGCATTTTTTGCAACTAATTTTCACTTTTTGGGCACATTTTCCACAAGGGGCTTTATGGCACTTCTCACAAATTGCTGGTTGTATTGCTTTTGCATAAGCCAATCTGGCACTTCTTTTGATATTTGGTTGGCACCTGTACAACTGTCTTTCGTACAACTTCTCTTTTGGGTACATCTTCTGACAAATCCCCTCCTTTCAGCTCACTAGACAATTGAAGAATAAACTTTTCTTTTTCATCTTTTCATTAGTTACATGATTGTAGATAATCCAAGCATTGATTGCTGCCATGTCCAATATATTATAGAAAACTTGCATCAGCCATCTCCTGCATGCAGCTTTGGTGCTATATTTCCAAGTCATTTTGTCTAGTATGTCTACCCCACATTTTGTAGCGTTATAGAACTTCATAGTTACCGGTTTCTTTTTTCCTTCATCACAGACTGCTACTTCAAGATGACAAGCTGAGAAGCATATGATGATCTTTTTCTTCTTTGACTGTCACTGTCAAGGTGCAGTTTGTGATACTTAGTGAGTGTCAGAAAATAACTGTCGAATGAAGTTCAGCATTTAGCTTCAAGTCATCAGGGATTTCACAACGGATCGGATTGACTGTTACTCCTAATGAAGTTTTCTTCTCTTCATGCTTTTTGGCATGATGACGACACCTGAAAAATTTGTCAGTTGTCATGTTTCATCCATAGTTAAGAAATGGCTCCATAAAATGCAGAACAACATTCACCCAATGGTTGTTTATTTGGTCGAGTATCCTCTTCGCCGAGATAGGGAAAGGCATTGCATACGTACTTTGTTGACACATCGGCCACAACCCAAAATTTCAGTCCGTATTTGTCAGGTTTGTTTGGCATAAAGTGGATATATCTGCTAGTGAATCTAGTTTTGCTCAGAAGTAATTACTCATTGATTGTTATATTTTCACCTGGGCGATAGCAACAAATGCAGTTTTCTACAAACCCACCAACACTAGAGGAAACTTACCAGCACAAAGGTGTTCCGCTAGGTCAGATTTCTCGTCAAAATGGAGAAATCTGAGAAGCTCACGAAATATGTCTCTTGGCATTAAGTCCTTTATGAATTTTGGTCCCTAAAAACGAGACCGAAGATCATCCACTGAGATTCCCTTTGCACACAATGCTCCTCCTGCATACACAATGCTGATCATGGCCTCCAACACAAGGTCCAGTGTTGTTTTTCAGTGCTTTTCGTGCTTCTGAATCTGTGTGTCTCTTAATGAGGCAAAGCATTGGATCGTCAAAGTGCATACAGAAGGAACTTATCACAGATCCATTCTTTCGCTGGCAAGCCCACAAAGTGGAACCACCTCGTTCTCTCTAAACATTCACAGCTGCTCTTTTGCCAGATGATGTGGAGTTGGCACTGATGACTCCTCCCACTTTGTTCCATCTCTCGCTTCATCCTCACTATTCCTTGGCATAAAATCTTTATCTGAATCAGTTATATCACTTTCCTTCTTGAAATCCAAATTTTCTAGCATAAGGAGAACTCGTGAACAGAAATATCAATTGAAACTGGTATTACGACCACACACAAAGCAATATTCTGACAAAAAAAATAATAAGAGAATAGAAAACCAAATGAAACTTATCATGGATCGATACTTGTTGAAATCGTGCTCCTTTCATTCATTACTTTCTGAGAAGGATTCAATAGTCAAATCAAGCAAGGGAATAATTTAGATGTATTTAGTCAAAAAACAGTAAAAACTGTATGTGACATGGGAGAAAAGATCATCAGCGCACGTTTTCTTGAGTTTCATAATCCCTTTCCATCATTTTAACTATAAATAGTTGAAAGATGAGTAAAAGTTAAAGATAAATAAAGAAAAATAAAATTAAAAAAAGTGTGAGATTAATAAAATTTGAAAAGCTAGACATTTTCATTCCCAACTTATAGAAAACTTATATGCAATGGTAAACGAACTGCAGATTTCATTTTTCTTCATTGCTAACAAAATAGGAACTCGCCCTTACCTCTACTCCTACCACTACAAGGAAAAGGAAGAGTTCAACAAAAGACCCAGAGCATAGTGAAGCTACAATAATGTCCAGAAGCAAAATAAGTGGCCATCTCAGCATTTGGTCAATGTATCAGGGAAACTGGACAAAAACCTGATGAAGATTGAGGCAATTATCACTTCTATATTCAGTGTAAAGAGTATAACAATAGATATCGCATCATTCCTGAAGGAAAGGGAATTCTTCTAAGATTGCAGTTCTGTAGAATCTTCATGATAATGAAACAATTAGACCAAACCAACACTGATCATGTCCAGAATACTGTAGTTTTACAAATGAAATAATATGGGATGAAATAACCCCTCCTGCTGTTCCCCGAGATATTATATGATAAAAAAAATAAAAAAAGAGGAAAAGTAACGTTTGAAGGAAGAAAAAAACCACACTTAAATTCTGAATTTAGTATTTAAGAAAATGTATGTAGATGTCATTTTGACTCCTGCCGCTGTTCTAGTGTTGAAGAAAAACAAATGGTGTGTATTTCACCGACAAGAAAAATCAATTTTTTCTTTGTGGAAAATGTATTTGTAAAACGTGCACATTTGTGAAATAGGGTTGAAATACTTATTTTTAATAGCCGTTGCTCCAGAAGAAAGTAACAAGAATCAATCTATAAATATTTTTTTATACTATTGTATATTTGTAAGACACAGATTATTGCCTAAGTATAAAGTGAATATCTGAAAGGAAGCCAATCCATTGTACATGGTTTACTAAGAAATATGTAAGCAAGAAGTAAAAATTAACACACCAGAGAGAGAAATGTCCAAATACTGGCACACTTGTAAACACTGCACAACACATTTTTTATTCTTTAAAGTTCATTTGCAAAAATGAATGACATGGGAGTATTCTGGATCCACCACAATGCCTAGTCTTACAATTTATGAATTACGAATTCCAAGGGCCTGTTCAAGTTCAGCACGTTTTTGCTGAACCTTTGTGTAAAAGTAGCGACAAACAGCTTCTTGAGCCCATGGCTGATAGAAGAACTCTGCTCGACGCTCTTCTTCAGGATTCCCAACAACATCAGTCATTGTCTGAAATTAAAGTGAAATATTAAAAATATTATTTTAGAAATTACAAGGAAAAATACATACATTAAGATGGAAGTCAATTTTCTTGAAGAGTACTCTTTCGAGTTTTTTACATACCTTGAGATCGCGTGTTTGAGAAATTATCCACTTGTTAACAAATTGCTGAGGATCTTTAGCAAAGCTCAGATAAAATTCACGATTTGTTTTAAGCTGATTTATTGTTTCCACTGTCTCATGGATCTTATTATCAAGACTCTAAAAATCAATTAAGTTTTTGTGAGAAAAGCGTTAACTGGGAACATAACAGCACAATTTACACTTTCTTTCTTTTTCTCTCTCTCCCCCTTTTTTTTGTTGCAAAAGTTATTCCATACTTTCAAGGAAAACAAAAGTCTGTTTAATTTTTCTGCACATAAGAATCGCCTCTAAAGACATTTCATTTACATTAAAGAATGAATAAAATTAACGCAACTTTATTATAATGAATAATTGATGAGCTTCATCAATATATTATACTTGAATTTCAAATAATCAAATCAAATAATTATACCTGAATTTCTTGTTGACTGGCAGTAGAGAGTAAAAAGTTATTCATTTGTGTTTTTAAAGTATCGTCAACTTCAACATCAATATCGTAACAAGCAGTTTGCTTCTGCTCAGCACCTTCCACACTGCAAAGAATTATATTAAAATAAAAGTATAATTCCCACACAGAATAAATATTCACATGCATAAACTCTAATTGGAATTAAATTTTCAAATACCTGATGGTGTGATTGATTACAATTGGATCAGGTGGATGTAAGAGAGGATTGAGGCGCTGAGGAATTTCTGCAAACTTCATTCTGGGACAGCCAAATATCTGTTCTAGGTACTTGTCGCAAATTATGTACTCCCTTTCATGTGAATCTTGAAGTCTATGAGTTTTAATATACTGCCATAATGCAGAAATTATAACTGGTCTTGTTTGGGTGTGAACACCCAACAATCGGGCCAAACGAGGATCTAATTTAAACTGAAGGGGTTGGTAGTCCAATAGAAGAAGAATGGTGCAGCGGACATTCTTATCTCCGGGTCTCTTCACCTAAGATTATTATGAAATTAATTTTGGACAATTCTATAATAAAATAATAATTTCAAATGGACTGAAATTTGTACCTGGAATCCATCAGTCTCCTGGGTGGTTGGTGTACGATGCCATTCCACTAAATGATTATCAGGGCCATAAAGTTCTTTATCCAATTCTATTACAAGAGACTTGAAAAATGATGAAAACTTTCTCTTTACCTGGAAAAATAATACTATATCTGAGTACCTTCCTGGAAAATCCTTACTTCAGACAACAACAAACTACTACATGTTTTACTACAAACTACTTGTTTTACTACATTCTAAGACAACAGTTTGCAAGCATTACATGCATTATTGCAATGAATTTATATGCAGTTTTTGAACTTGAGAACTGCCCTCATCAAGCCTCCTGAAGGAAAGCAAAGGAATCTTTATAAAATTTCTAAACCATCAAACTTTGCTCTGCAAGTAAGTGAAGTCCTTCATTAACAACAGGTGATTTTCTGCCACACTATTTATATAATTATAAAGCTAAGACACTGGCAGGTCTAAAATTGAATTAACACATTTTTTATAAAAATGCAATTATGACTTCCTTTGTCTTCCTATAACCAATTTTTACTTGTTTGTAACATTAGTGATAACAGCAATGATTAAATACACAAAAATAATTTTGTTCTGGTGTCTTTGTATTTCAAAGCAAGAGGGAAACAAACATTTTAGGGAAACTTGAAAGCATTTCTAAATAACAAATGATTTTTGGAAGAGAAAGTTTCTAGAATTACTAATTAGTTTTAATACAAAGGTTCATAAAATGAAAAACGACTGAGGAAAATTAAATGTTAATCAATTAGAACACTGTGGAACCTCTTATTACCTGGGAATTCCAATGATCTGATGTTTTTTCCATAATAAAAGTTATTAAATAAATGAACTACAACAAAATTGTCAGGTACAGGAGTTAACATGCGTTCTTGGGATGATTTTAATTAGTCGATTTGAAAATGAACTTTGAAATGACCATGGGAAATGGCAGAAAATGAAATAGAAAACAAAAATACTATGATTTGTACCAATAACAGTTAAAAATGTACTAAATTGTGGTAAATTAATTAATATGTGCTTTCTAACTTTGCCACTATAAAATTGTTTTATGTACATTCAGTCATAATATATCTTTCAATTAACATCTTTAAATTCATTGAAAAAATAGTTTCGATAATCTTGAGTTTACGATTTTCTGAAAACCCACTTTCCCATCATCCTAAATAATAGAGAGTTGAATATACAGGAATTACAATAGAAAAATATAAAGATAAGTCGTCTTTCCACCTACAAGCCATTTCAATCAACAACGCACACACTAATTTGGCAACATGATATACAATTAGCAACTTCACTGTAGTAAAAAATTATTATTATTGTACTAAAATGATGCCTTATAAAAATCACACATGTTTAAATATTTGCACCTTTTGATCAACTATAAACAAACAGTTATTCTATGTCTTAAAAACACCCCAACAACAACTTATTTTAGAGGGAAGTATTGTCTAAATTGGATCAATGAAAAAATTTCCACAAGAAAATTCATTTTAAATGTTTAAAGTTTGTAGTTTTTTTTAAGAGATTAGTGGTGGGTTGAGTCAAAACAATAATGAATTTTTACCACAATTTTATTGACCAAATGATTGTATCTAGTAAAAATTAAATTTCGAATAATTATAATTTCCAACATCAAATTTGAACTAGAAATGTGAAAATTGAAAATGATGGATCTAACAACAATACTGGGGCAAGAAAGCATTAAAACAATAGCCCTAAGCGCCCAGAGAAACTAATTCACTAACAATTCCCTACATACAGATCTCAAAAATCATGGTTATCAAATTGATATTTTAAAAGTTTTCCTATTAAAATGCAGCCTTTTTTTGAGTATGAACTATTGGGTGGGGTACCACTGACTCTTCCCATTTCTCACACAAATACTTTGAGAAAGAGCTCTTGAGCGCAAGAGATGAAATATATCCCTGTCAAATATACGGACGTTCCTGAGTGTGTCCCTCAGCCAGACTGAGCAGATATTTATTTCCTTGTCCAGTGCACACAGCCGTTTTGAATTTTGATACTTTGCCTTCAAATCAGATATGAGAAACTAATATTTTAAATAATTATTTCCCCAAAATAAAAATTCCATTTTTGCTAATAAAATATGATTTGAGGCAATCTTATTTTTTCAACTTTGACATACCAAAACTCAAATTACTACTTATTTACTTACTAAAAATTAACTTATACATATGTCAACAGAAATTACTTTACAAATTTGTTGAGAATTTTACATTGAAATCATTTTAAAATCAAGTATCTAATCAAAAAAGGCTGAAAGCTTAATTTCAAAGAATGAAACTATTTCGTAACAGAATCATTGTTCAATTTGTACTACTTCATTTTGAAGGGGGCACTTTTTACAGTCTTCCTCGGGACTATCTTTTACAACTTTTGATGATATGAGACACTCAATTAAGGCTCAAGAACATGTTCCTATAAAACTGATTAAAAATTGAAAGAATACCATAATAGCTTTATCCCACATTGCAAGGATTCTCAAACTATTTTGTCTACTTTTTCTGAACTTCATCATAAGTCAAGATATCTTATTGCCCCATCCCACTTGGGCAGCCTTAAAAAACAGCTGCATTCTGGGCTAACCATTATTTTACAAAAGTGTCATTACTGGATTAGTATTTTCAATTCTGAGAATAATAGCTTACTAAATGAAAATTGCTGTTTTCAATTAAGTCATAATCAATACAAATAAAAGAGGGAGACCATGAGTTCCTGACAAGATTAGTTCATCGAGTCATCTAAAAAATAATCAGGGCAGAACTATTTAAAACAATAATAGTGCATGATTATGAAATTCAATTTTCAGTACATTCGCGAAAACCCCCTCTCCTCTGCATTATATTAATTGAAACACTTTATGTTTAAGAAAGCCAGTCTTTATTGCTATTATCTGGCCAACATAAATCTCCCTAAATTCAACAAAACATTAAACAAAGTATTTCTTCCATTTTCATGTATGTTGGAGGATTCTAATGACATTTATAAAATAAAACAAACGTAAGTATACCTTATTGGGATCATTTTTACTATCTTCAAGCAAGCGACCTTCTACTCTCAATTCCCATGAGGCCACACTGCCCTCTTCACTTTCTCCTGGCTCTTTAGCAGGATAAAATGTATTCGAGATGAAAATACGGAGCTTCCTTTTCTGCTTCATAGGCCTCTTCAGAGCTTCCTAACATAATAGACAAAACAGTGAAAATGTTCATTTTAAAGGTGGGGAGATAAAACTATTTTTTTTGCTACAAAACAAATAAAAACCAATTATTGTATCACCCACTTGTATATCAAGACGTTTACGCATTATGGTTGAATCCAACTTGCGTTCGAAAGCCAGAAGGTCCATGTACGCTTGAGATTCCGGAACAAGATCCCTAACTTTCTGTGGTAATATCTTATCCGCAAGCTTCTTTTTCTTTTTGCCCGTGGAGTGTGAGAAGTCACTGTAAGAAACAAAACTGCCACTCCTCCATGTAAGGAAGATCAAAAATGGAATACAATTTTCTAAATGTATGCCTTCTTTAGTCTTCAATCCGTTACGACAGCCTCTTCATGATGATGTTTAAATAAATTATTTATTATGACTTTTATTTATATTTTTTATTATGCATACCATTTTTAGATTTGTTCTATTTTTCTCTAGAATATCACCCTTCGCTAGCAGCATTATTGAACAAAATATTTTCTACATCAAAAGAAATAAAATAATATTTGTTTTAATAGAACTGAAGAATTTCAAAACTAATCATGTTGGAAAGAAAGTTCTAAAAACAGGCATTCCATATTATGAAAGGAAGGACTTTAGGTTTTCCTGAATATAACAATAACATTTTTCTTAATTTTATTTTTTTATTGAAAAAATAATGTGTTGCATCTAGACAAGATGCACTTATTAAAACACCATAAAAATGTTTATCAAAGAACTAAACCTGTTTGTGAAGTAATTGTATTAGAGAAAGGTTATTCTAGAGTTAAAATGTCAATTAGCATTTCAACATTTAAACATAATTATTTAGATTCTATTTTAAAATATAAGTTTAGGTTTCAGATTTAAAGTGCTTTATACTTTACACTCTTACTTCTTCTGCTGAGGTGGGGGAGGGCGAACATCAGTCGGCCGCTTTGGTGCTGCTTGTGGAGGAATTGGTCCCTGCCTCATAGGAGGGTATGGAGGCTGCTGCTGTGGCCGAGGCATCAAGTTGGGACCTGGGGCAGAGCCCATGGTCGGGGGAGGCTGAAACCCGGGTCTCGGTTGGAGCTGTAAGCAATGATAACTATCACCAATTATTACACTCACAAATGATGATACACTTGCTTCCACCTCTTTCAAACAGCAAATAGCACTTTGTCTGAAATAAGCTGAAAAGAAATAGACATATCAATGTTGCTTAAAATATTTTGCATTCAAGTTAATTAACATTCTAATACAAATAAGCTTAGTAATGTTTGTTTTACAATTGAAAATTCAATGTAGAAGCAATGCTCAAACACTACTCTTAAATGCTTAATATTACAGTCCACAATTGTAAAGCAATTTCAGAATGAATTCTAGAAACGTCAAATTATGTTCTTCCTATTTGCTTTTCTCATTTATCTAAATCTCCATCATTATATTCAAGTATGATTCTACATTTGACAGTAAAACACACATTTTTCACAACAAATTGAGAGAAAATTTGTTTTACAGGCCTTACTGACACCACACACGCACGTTAAGTCAACGTTGCATCTGCATTCCTTCTGTCTCGCGTTATTTGCGACACAGCGAGGCGACGGGTCGATAAAATATTCATGGAGTACATGCAGAAGGGAAGCGTCAGTCTGACATTTCTCGAACGCTGACGGGTAAATTTCTACACACACGCACATCGTTTTGGCATTTTCTGCTGTAAATATTTCACAACAAGAACAATTTGACGTAGCAAACTGCGGTACAGTTTTGCATCGTTTCCATTGAGTTAACCTATACACTCTACACGTCTCACCTGAAAGGTTGGTCCAGCATACTGTCTTAAAGTCGGGACAGACTGGGGTGGATATCTCTGTTGAGGTGGCCCTGTCGCAGCACCACCCTGCGCTCCAGTAAATCGCTGCGCCATTTTGGTGTTCTACCAATTTAACCACTATGATTGTATCAAAACAACGCTTGAAAAGTAAGATAACCACAAACACAAATGGACGCACCAAAGCTTTCTCTATTCACTGCCGCCACCAACTGCCTACTTAAATCGTACAAACTCGACTTTTTCACAACTATCGAGGCGGCTTTGGATATGATTGAGCAACGCCATCTATACTGGAATTATGGCACTAATTATGGAATTAACGATGCTTTGTGCATTACAATAGCTTGTATTGGGACACTTTTTAGAGTTATAAAGAGCACAGTACATTAATGCACATGCTGTAAGCAATTATTGAATTATCTAACTATAGGGGGAACTATTGAAAGCCTCTTGTGCACAATGCGGAATACAAAGGAACGATTTTATAAAATATCTGTCCCATTCACAGAACACTCATATTTACGATTGGCAACTTTCAGGCGCGCATTTCAAGTTTAAAGTGTGATTATTCACATTTAAGAAATAAACATTACTAGAAATAACACGAAGGGATAAAGTGGTGATGGAGTTTGGATAATGAGATGTTTCATAGTTTTAATCCAGAAAATGGAAAACAATGGAATACATAAAAATAAATATTCACAATATTGGGAAACATTAAATACAAAACAAGTTATTCACAATTGTTTAACAATATGTTGTTTAATTAGGCTCATCATTTGTATTATAATGGAATAGAAATCACGTAATAAATACATATTTGGTTTCTTCTACTCACTACAGGCCCAATATCTATGTTCTGCTTATTATACAAACATTTGAATCACTTGTGAGGAGCAAGATTGTTAGTTTCATGTGATGTAAATGTGAATAAATAAATAAATAATTAAATAAATAAATACAATAAACTACACAAAATGCAGTTGTTTCATTGAAAAAATATTTTGGAGCACAAACAATAATACATTAAAGTAAGTACATTTGAGCATATGTTTCAGTAATATAAGCATGCACATTTATTTTTAATTTTGTAATAATAGAATTATTTGTGATAGATCTATAAATTAGATGCTTAAATGGAATATACAATAAAAACTCTTAAAGAGTTTCATTATCACTGCCAACGCTTCATTGTTGGAATCAATAATCAATCAATAATAGTTAAGCAGGTTTCAATAAGGTAATAAGAGTATTTCCATTCATTTCATTTATACAGAATTGTTATATTTAGTTATAATGGTCTTGGGTTCATTGTAAAAAGTTTGAGAAAGAGCACGTGCACACTCGAATTATTTCTGCACTTTCTTGAAAACGTTGGACACATTTCGTATAACACCGAAAATATCATTTCAACAAATTTTATCTGACGAATAATTCATTCACGAGAATAAACGTGCATCACTCATATGTAAAGGAAGGTGTACATGACTGGTTGCCTTAAGGCAGAGTCTGAAGATCACAGAAGACATTAATCGGCATCAACAATGATGGAAGGCATACGAAATCGTAGATGCACCAGCGTGTTCCATTTTTTTTTATTTCGCAGAACTATACATAAAAGATTTTGACGAGACGTTACTACGAAACAACATCAATACCTTCGGTGCAAAGTTGTATTGGCTTTTTGTTGTTGAATACTGAGAATGGAATGGCGTTTTTCTAGGAAAGACGAGTTTGGCAGCTAATAGAGAAGACACGAGCAGAGTGCAGTAAAAGGATAGGGCACAGGCTATGAAAAAGTGAGCTAGTGCCTTTGATCCCTGAGCGGGTGCGGGGATGTCGCTTGTGACTTCAAGGGAGATATGACATCGTCAATCACCATTTTGGAGGAGGAAAGCGAAGTTTTGTTGCTGTAGCAACTATTTTCAGTCGTCCGTAAATCAATATAAACCCTTCACAAATTCTCATCTTGAGGCTAAAATCTGCTTTATTTTAATATTTTGCGCGCAGATTTTTATTTAGCCGAGGTTTCTTCCAATTTGAACATTCTTTATTTAGAAATGACGTTGTATATCTTACATAAATTACTCTGCTAATATTGACGTACTCATTGCTTGAGACTGTAAAGAGATAAGGAATAAGAAATATCATTAAACGTTTTGACAATAGATAATTCATCTATCTGCTTAAATTATTACTTATTTTCGCTATTTCTGCTTTTCGATCTTTTATTCAGACTTCCCAGACCCTTCAATTTCACACGTGTATTTATTTGAAATTTTTACGTATTTACTTATTGTTTAGATGTTTTTTTTTCTTTAAATCTTTGTCTTTAACACTTTCAATTTCTTAACCTACGATTTATTCCTTTAAATTTTCATTGTTTTTTTCATGTTCTTTAATTCTTGCTTCTTCCTCTTGCGTAATTCATCCGTAATTGTTGCATAACATTGTAGACTGCTGTTCCGCCACAGTCATTTCTCTAGCGTGATCCCCGAAAAGTACTGACGATAGGAACAAGGCACAAGGTGACTATTAAGTATGTGTATATCCGTGCCATAGGAACGGTATAGAAATACCATCTCGGTGCCGATGGCTAATGTTAGGAGCTCATTGGATGTATTACTCGCTTTTCACGTTTCGCACTGTTTTCGTTCTCTGTTGCACAGTACATCTACTTTTTACATTTTTTGGCGACGACTAAACAAGGTCAAATAGTTACAGGTGTAAACAGGCAGTCGTTGCCGTTAACCTCGATATTTCAACCTTAGTTCACCGAACATCGGTTAAAGGTTTTGTTGCTTATCCTCCTTACATAAGCCAGGCAATTTTATCTACTGAATTTTAGATCTTATGGGTATTGTCTAAACATGGCAACAAAGGCACAAAACGCCGGCAGAGAGGATGATGGTGGCGGTAAAACTGAAAGGTTTTTCAGGCTTTGTCATTGCCATTCGCTGAGTTTCAGATCTTTGAACCGTCAAAATTGCACGCATCCTTTGATATATAGACAATGCAATCCATTCTGACGTGGCTATGTGAGTAGAGCAATAATGACGACGAACATTGTCGTTTGGTTAGAATGGCGACGATCTCGTCGACAAATGACCGTAACGACAACGGTGACGTTGACTTTGTCATCTTAGTCCATGTGTGAGATCACCGAGTGCCTGTCTCTCCGTCGGGATGTGCGCAGCCACCTCTCCGTATAGCGGCGACCAAGGCACACAGCAGCATTCACAGGGCCGACAGCAGAAGCGACAACGGCGTTGATTAGCACACCGTCGTCAACACCCCGCGCGGAGCACGTGTCAGCCTCTTTCCATCTCGGTGCTCCGAGTGTGCTCGGACCTCGAGCAAAGAAAGGCACAAGGAGGCGGCGGTGGCGGCGACGGCGGCGACGACAGCGGTGGCGGTGGCGGCGGCGGCGGACAGCGACTCACACGGGCCGCTGTAGGCGCCTGCAGGCGCCCTCGTCGTCGTCGTCCTCGTCCTCCTCGTCGTCGTCGGCATCTCCGGCCAGCAGCGGGCTGCAGCCGTCGGCGAGGGCGGCGGCACCGCCGGGGCCCGCGCCGGCGGAAGGCAGAGGCGGCAGCAGCGCGGAGCAGGGCGTGGCGGGGGCGGAGCGCGACAGCCAGCGGCGCGGGGGCGGCGGCGGCGCGGGCGGCAGCGGCAGGTAGGCGCGGCTGATGCGGCCCAGCAGCGAGCGCAGCTCCAGCGTGGGCGAGGTGGCGCGCGGCGGGGACGCCGCCCCGGCCCCCGCCAAGCTGCTCGCCTCCGACCCCGTGGCGGCGGACAGGGCGGCCGCCGACACGAAGCGCTGCGACCCGCCGCCCCCCGCGCCCGCGCCCGCGCCCGCGCACGACCCCGAGCCCGGCAGCGGCGTCTGCGCCACCGGCCCGCTGGCCCCAGTCGCCACCGACGACAGCCCGAACTCGTCCAGGCTCCCCGTGCACGAGTACGGGGGCGGCACCATCGAGTTGGCCTGCGGACAGAGCGTCTCCTTACACCCCTCTCCGCTCCTGGTCGATGGAGAGGGGCGGGCAAGGGAATTACACGGAAATGTCCTAGGAATTGCGAAGAGAGGCGAGACGGGTGTGAAGGGTGAGAAATGAAGAGCGATGGATGGCAATGAAGTGATAGGTGAGGCGACACAGCATGAAGGAATGTGACTTCAAATGCACTGAACGGGCAACATCAAGTGAACTGATGTACTGACAAGTTACCAATTGTGAGGAGTTAGAGAATTCTGCAGCATAGAAAACCTATTCACTTCAACAAGATTCAACAGTATAGTTCGATTTAAACAGAAAGTCTGTTGACGTAAATCAGCTGTTACCGTGTCATCCAATTGGGAGGTAGAATTTCATTACAGTGATGTCACTATAGATCAAGTTTAAGCTCTCGATTGAATGACACTAAAACAGCTGATGAACGGCTACAGGACACTATAAATTAATCGAAGTATAGAAAGTATACATCGATCTAAAACAAAAGTTTCAAAACGAAAATAAAAATATAATTTACCAAACACATTATTTTGACTTTTAATCGCGAATTAGAAAAAGATTAAAATCAGTGAAACGGACGCACATCTACAGACGAAGTTATATTTTCTTTGTCAAAAATGATTAAATAATAATAATTTATCATAATAGTAAGATCAAATTTTTATCAATTGACAATAGTATAACATTTTAATTCAAGCTTTAAAATCTAAATAGTTTTATATACTATATTCGTTAATAACAAGCGAGTTACATGCTAACAGCATTGTGTTAAGCTTAGGAAATGAGTTCTCAAATGTTTTTAAAGACGTTTGTGAGCTCTCTTACGAATTCTCTACTCATTTGAATATAAATGCACTCCGAGTTAAATCGAGTAACTTACAACTACTATGAAATCATAATTTCATTAAGATAACTAACTCTCACGCTACACACTTCACAAAGCAGCGTTTCTCTCATACTGTAAGTTCTATCAATCTCAATGTCACAAAACCTTGTATTATTTTTTTATATTTTTGAAAATCATCAGGTACAAAGTAAAATTTTTAGAAGGCGCGAGTAACGGAACATTCTTAATTCGGAATGAGAAGAGTAGAAACGCGGGCAATTTCTTTTGTTTGGCTGCGATCTCTCTTCGACCGAACCTCTTCCTCTTTGATGTTCGCTGGTGCAAGCTTAATAACCGTCGCGTCGAGAATCGTCTTTCTGTTCTTTCATCTTTTTCTCTCTCTCTAGAGAAGAATCGTTAGTGATGAATAATTGAAAGAATTCGTGGAATATTTTCAAGGATCTTTCGTTGAATCTACTTAACGTCCTGTTACCATTATATGAGTTAACTCCAATTGAAATTTCACATGCTATAGAGATGGAAAACAACGTCTTAAGTAAATATTTAGATGAAATTTATTTAAAAACAAAGTTTCTCCGGTATTAAAGCAGGCGCAGATTCATTAGGGGGGGGGAATGAGGGAAATCCCCCTCAAATAGTTACCTGTAACTATTAATTTTAAATATTCACGAAACTTTTAAGTAACAAGTGGTGCTAAAATAGCACTTTCCGCCCTATTTACACGCAAAACTTCAAATTTTCGAAAAATTGTACCTGACTTTATTTTAAAATCTATCTTTAAAGAAGAGATTTCAGAAAGAGAAAACATTTCTATCTTTAATATTTTAGTTGTAGGAAGACTCTTAAAAAAATTTCTACTTTTGCAATTTTCCAAAAATCATGTTTTTCAACGAACATGAGACCTGCACCATTCCCTTAAATGTCCTTTACACTATCTAACATTCTAATAAAAAACAGTGAAGCCTTTTCTTTTGAAAATTTGAAAAATGTCCCAGAGGATTCATGTAAAGTACCTCTAAAACTGAAAAATAGGTTTCAAATTCCAGGGGCCGCGAAACCAGCCAGATCGATTGGGGAATATCAATTGTGGAGAAAATCGTCTGAATCGTTTAGCCGCTAGCACACAGACAGACAGATTTTGTTAACATTCGATATTTCGGTTTCAAGGACCCACAAAACATAGAATCTGGCTACACCATGTGTTAGAGGATTTTTCTAAATTTAGCAACAGGATTTATCCACTTTTTCGTTACCAGAATCCTGTAATAAAAGCTTTTCTGCCGAACATTCGCCGGTTTTCGCGCAACATTACATAACTTTCCCTCTACTTCGTAAAAATATTTTCGTATAATCATTAAAACGAATAAAATTGTATCGCAGCATGAGCTGAGTTAAGCCTGCGTCATTCTACATAATCTGTAATACGACATACGACCAAAATATTTTGAATAAAAAAGTATCTAAATATACCGATCACATTCGATTCATGATCTGGCGTTTACTCGTATATAGTATCCTTTGGATGGTGAAATACAATAACTAGGGTGTTTGGTTTTAATGAAATATCATTTTAATGAATTGTCACTTTAGAACAATGCCGTGTACTATAGAAATATATTTTATGTTATGACAGAACGAAATGACCCATTTTTATACGTAATTGTTTTTGCATTTTTTGTTCATTTCAACTAATAAGTAATTTTTTAACTTTTTACGTGCATTTTTTGCTGATCTCGTCCATTTTAATATCATTTTAATGGTACTTGCTTCAAACAATATTTACGAGATACAACAAATGTTCACTACAGAATTCTTGAGTTGCCTTTTCGATTTCTATACCACAGAATTCTTGAGTTGCCTTCTATTTACGAGATACAACAAATGTTCACCACAGAATTCTTGAGTTGCCTTTTCGATTTCTATCCTCATAAATTGTAATGTCAGCCATTGGGAGTGCTATGAGGTCCTTGTGACGCCTAATGGCGCCATTGTTAGGTCGGCCGATTGTGCAATAAATAAAGTCAGAGATTTTCTTTTAAAGAACAAAACTTTGCAAGCTCAGTTCACTTGAAAAAAGGAAGAACCCTCGATTACATCATTACATATGCAACAGCATGAGTTGTTCATCTGAAGTGCTTTCGATTAAATATTTTTACCTCATTTTTCTTTGTTTTTAGGGCATTTTAAAATAATTTTAAAGCATTTTATTGATCAATTTCGGCAATGTTTTAGGTCATTAAATCCGCCCCCTAATAATAACTAAGCGGCGGATTTTGGTGATCTAAAACATCGCCAAAAATGATCAATAAAATACTCTTAAATTGCCCTAAACTATACTTTTTTCAAAATGCCATAAAAGGAAAGAAAAACGACGTAACTTTTTGTCAAAACAAAATCAGATGCATAACTTTGATGTAATCCCAGTGTCGGATAGAGGACGGGCATGCCCCCTAGCCATTACTTTATTCTTAAATCTCTTAAATAAAATATTTTATTGTTGAGCTCTCCTGAAAAATTTCGGCTATGCACTGGATCTGTACCAGGTAATAGACGAGTTGAAACTCCCAATTATGTTTAATTCTGGACCATGATTAAAGAATTGCTTGTAAATGAAGGAAATAATATTTTCTTGCAATGACATGTCTCCTGTAATTTAGACGACATCGATTAACTAAATATAGGCTGGCAGCGAGGTCTCGCTAGGCTGTTGGCGAAATTGGCCGCGGCGAGTCGCGCAGGTCGGGGGGAGGAGGGCGGCGCTGTCACCCACCTCGTTGGCGGCGCTGCACAGGAAGCCCGAACTGAGCGAGTCGACGGTGCTGGCTCCCGACAGCGACCCTGCAACAAGCCAAATGCCTTCCTGCAGCGCAGCAATTTCAGAACAATTACCTTTATTGTTTTGTACTGAAATACTTTTCACTTCTTTTTATCGTATACAGGGGAGTAATGCTTGGTAAAAAATAACTTTATTGTATTCTTAATCGATTGATTGATTTCGTGTTTCCAAGTGTATCAACTACGAGTACTACAGTCGATAGTGCCATGACTGTAGTGCATGTGTTTATTACAAGAGGTGGCGGTGCTCTTTTACCGCTGGGTGGTGGGCTGAGGCAACGAACATGCCGGTTTGCGTGGTTTTCCTCAACAATTATCTCCCTCCAGCGGGGCACCGTCCCAGCCGGAATAAGATATAAGCTCCCGACTGATCTCCCAACAAGTGTGATAGTGTAGTGTGAGGTAAGGAGTTGGGATAAGAAAAGGAAGAGAAAGGAAAGATCACGGGCAGTCCCTGACTTTGTTAACGTTGAGATTCATCTTAACAAGTAATAACTCATTTACTTTTTCACAGGCATGGAAACAGCTAGTAAGTATTTTAAGCAATTTTCTAATTTTGTCATAACCTATATTTATTCAGCATCGCACAGCGTTCTGCATCTCAATCAAATGACAAGGCAACACACATTCGCTCATATTCGGGGCTATCATTATTTGCACCTCATTTCCATGCCATCAAAAATTCAAGTTTTTCATCGTTTGTATTCCCAAATAGTAACTTTTCCCTCTGGTGATAGCAAGTAGCATGCGTTCTGATTGAACTTACCACGAGAACAAGCATCTGGACGTTATGAAACTAGAGTATTTCTGTGCCACAACGCAGTTTTTCTGATTGATGAGACACTTTACTAATTTTCTTGAACAGAAGATTTTGCCGCGTTTTTACGTTCTTGCATACAACATACGTAGTATAGAAAAAGTTATGTAATGATAGAGCGAAAAACGGCAATTTTTATGTAGAAACATTTGTATTGTAGACTCTCAATAACGAAAAAGTGGATAATTCTTGTTTTTATACATTGTAAATTACTTCCTCTAACACGTTGTGTATTCAGAATCTACATTTGGTGGGTCTTTGATATGAAAGATTGATTTATGGCATAATGTATGTTCGTCTGTTCGTCCGTCCATCTGTGAACATAACTAGTGGCTAAACCGTAAACAGGATTTTCACCAAAATTGGTACTCTTCAGTCGATCTGGCTAATCTCGCGGTATCTTGAATATGAAACCGATGTTTTAATTTTTGAGAATAGTTTACTGGGCCTCAATGACATTTTCAAAATTTTCTCAAAAGTGGCTCCAAAGTTTTTGATAAAAATTCTACCTAAGATAGCGTTAAGGACGCTCAAAAAATGGAGTGGGTCGTAGTATCGTTAAAATACCTAAGTATTCGATAACTGAAAAAATTCAAAAATGTTTATGTGTCTTGCTAAAACTTCAATATTGAAAATTTTCCTCTGAATAAAATCTTTTCTTTAAAATTAGCTTAATAAATGAGGCCACATACATTATTTTAAAAATATGAGTAGTTTTCGAATAATTTTGCATGAAATAAAGTTTTTTTTAAAACAAGATTTCCTCAAAACGGCTCCAAATATTTTCATTAAACTTTTTAAACGAATGGAATAATTAAGTGGTATATGCACTGACTTATATGACATAAACGTCATTTGGATATATTCTTTAGATTTTTCAAAAATTACTGGAATCTAATTTTTTTATTACTCACGTTGGTAATGTTTATATGACGGTACTTTTTAGCGTTACTGAATTTGTGTGTACAAATACTTCAAATGATTTCTTATGACGTTTCTCGAAAACTCAAAATTTTCTGTGAAACTGAGCTTAAAATTGCCTCCGGACAGCACCTGAATTTCATCTACCTGTGTAACTAGTATCGAACATCCGCCACCGTCGGGTCTCGAACCCTGCTACCTCCCGGTCAGAGACACCGCAGAGTCAGCGCCAGTGCTGACACACTTCACATCGAAAGAACGTCGCACATACGCTCTAACCGACTTAGATATCCTGATCGAGAGCGAAAAAATACAATTATGATATTAATTTTATAATAATGAATATTTGAGTATGTTTTTACTTTCTAGCCTTACTTCGCACGAAGTACGTGCATTGTAATCGTGCGCTGGAAAACACTCAGAGTTTTACGACAGAAAGACTCTTATTGTGAGACCCTGGTAACGAAAAACTGGATAAATCTTATTCCTATATATAGTAAAGTACTTCCTCTAACATGTGAAAAAGAATTCATGTTAGGTGGGTAAAACGTGTATCTGCCCGCTCATCCGTCAGTATCTGTCTCTATGGTCAACGCTACGACCTAAACCATTCCCCCGAATATTTTCAAAATTGATATTCCCCAATCAATTTAAATGAACTAAGGCCCTCTGAGTTGAAAAGAATATTACGATTTTTGAGAATACTTTACATGACGCATAACATTTTCAAAACTGGCGCCAATGTTTTTTATTAAACTTTGTCCTCGGATAGTATAAAGGATGCTAAAAAGAATGGTGACGGTGTTATTTTCGTTGAAATTCCTGATTTTTAGAAAATCAGTTCAGAAAAAAGCTCAATTTTTTCCGGCTCTTCTTGCAACCACAGTATTGAAGACAGATATTTTTTCCTTAATGAAATCTGTTGTTAAAATATCTTGAAATTAGGTCATGTAAAATTTTTTGAAAATATCAGTTTTTGTGTAATTTTGCTTGAAATTTAAGCAATTTTTAAATATTTATTTTCTCAAAAAACAGCCCATTTTTTATTTAAATTTTCTCCTTGTATGTATCAAAGTATATATCATGGCCGGGAAACTCTTTGTGTTCTCGAAAATTACAAAAAAATGTGTTGCAAAACTTCAAATTTGAATATAGAGGATTTTGTCTTATATGACATCTATCCTTAAAGTCAGAATCTAAAAAAGGTCATGAATATGTTGTTTTCTAAACTAGTAGTTTTGGTAAGTTCTTCTTGAAGTTAATGCAAATTTTAAAAAAACATATCTCCCAAAACCGCTCCATATTTTCCCATTTTTTTCTACGAATAGAATAAGGGACGCTTAAGACAATGGCGGAGATCTCATTTTCGACGCATTCTAAACATTTTTGAGATTTGCTAAAGTTGGAAATAATGAAAGAAAACTTGTGCTGTTGTATAGCCTTTATATGGTTGCGTAGGCTTCCGCGGTCGGTGTTTATGTTGTCTAGGCTATCCGGGACGAGCCGGGTCACTGTCATGGTGGCTAACGTTTCGGCCAGCGTGTTGTGACCTTCAGTGCAGCAGTACGCTCTGTAAGCAGCGTGTTGTGGCCTTCACCAGCAGCTGTACGCTCTGAAGAAGGCCACAATACGCTGGCCGAAACGTTAGCCACCATGACAGTAACGCGGCTCGTCCCGGATGGCCTAGACAACGTAGAGCCTTTAGTTTCAAAAAGTAGTGCAATAGTCAACTGTACTGTCAAATGTCCTTTTCTAAGATTACATTTTGATTTCAATGGTCATAAAGTTATTAGTAGTTGCGCGTAATAGTGACGAGGAAAGTCACGTTCATACAACATAGCTTAGAACAGATATATAAATACCTTAGCTAAACTCGATTCAGCGTTACACAAAAATTACCTCGAGACTTACTGATTTGAAAAAAAGCGAAGGGCATAGTAAAATTTGGGTGCAAATGCAATTTAGTGAAAGGGAAAGTGCCTTTTATTGATCTTGAAGAGTTATTACATTTCAAAATTACGTCCACCATGTAATTTATTCTTTTGAAGTTATTTCATATGAATGCGCTTTGCGCGAAAGCATTTGTATTTTAATTGCTGAAAATTCTGAATCTGTTGCCTGAACACACTGAAGTCAAAGATAGCCATTAAATGATATTTTCTGCTCGAAATGCACAAGTTCGTCTCGGAACTCATCTGTTGAATTACAGATCGCGACTTGAGTAGACACGATTAAACGGTGACATTAGCGATCACCATTTCAATCATACAATTGTGACTCATTCTTAATAAGACCATATGAATAATATAGGTAACATGCGTGACAGTGAATAAAAAGAAATAAAATAAGAATCTTATGTCTCATTCGATCGCTTTTATTTGCCCTTTACATGCATGTTCGGAGATATAAATTGCCTCATTATTACACACAATATAATAAAGCCAGTAGATAAAATGGCCATTAATTAATCATATAGGAACGCAATTAGAAAATATGTCCAAATTTTCAAAAGCTATGAGATATGATCAAACGTGTTTACACGTCGCTAAAAGACAATTATGAGCGTATAACCTGGCGCTACCTCTCTCGTGAATAGTCAACTAACTTGCGCATAATTATATCGTCTTGCAGATTTAATAACTATAATTAACTGTTTGTTTTAACTATAATAACTTGTATATTAAATAACTATAATTAATGAAATACGACGAATTATGGTATATCATACAAAATAACGGATTTACATGCCTTGGGTTTCGTGAAGGGAAGAAATAAATATGTGAATGAGGGGGTTTATTAATGATAAAGGCTGTTTTCCGCCTGACCATGTGAAACGAAAACAGGGGAAGTTGAAAACCAAGGAAAAGGGAACAGAAAAAGCGACGAGCAAGAGAAGGAGGAGGAGAAGACGAAAGCACTCACCGATAGGCCGCACGATGTAATTCCGGAAGTACTGCACCATGAGGTAGCTGCCGGCGCCGGTGGCCGCGCCCGCCGTCCCGGGCACGCCCTTGCCCGGCGCGGCGCCGTCCGCGTAGCCGAAGACGAGCGGGTAGAGGTCGGGCTTAGCCGTGACCTCCGTGTAGGGCGGCGGCGCGAGGTGCAGCGAGGCGCAGCGGCTGTAGTGCGGCGGGGCGCAGCACGAGCCCGGGGAGCCAGAGCGCTCGGAGGCGCCGCTGCCGGCGCGCAGCGTGCGGCAGCGGGTGCGGGGGTGCGGGTGCGCGTGCGCTGCGCGGGGGTGGCCCAGGTGCGCGCCCCGCCGCCCCGGCAGCACGCGCCCGGCGCGTGCCCGCCGCCGCCGGTACAGCCCGCAGCCGCCGGCACGACGCCAGCGCCAGCACCAGCATCAGCCTAAGCACACGGCGCCCGCCGCGCCGCGGCCACGCCCCTTAGTCGCACGCCCACGCGACGCGGGGAACGGGAGTGGGCACAGACCACTTTCCCTCGAAGTGTGGGTGGGTGCGGATAAATGTTACAAACTTCTAGGGGAACCATGTCAAACAGTGCTACTTGCTCGATTGGGAAGTCCAGCGTTCCTGCGAGCCCAGGCAACGTCCCTTCATTCAACTCACATTTCCCCTCCAAATCCAGAAATGGGGGTAAACGGGCAAGTTGGATTGTTTAACATGAACGTATGTTTCCCTGATGATTTCTGTGATACCTGGTGCCTATGTTCATTTTGCATATTTTAGCGCATGCAGAGATGTGTGTATGTCAAAGAGTATCACTTTTGGCTTATAAAAATGGGGTGGAAATCTCATTTATCGGAGTTACACACGCAAATTTCTGAGATTGCGCTTTTATTTGGTATCAGTGTTTGGAAGGATGTATTGACTAAAAAATCACGAAGTATTGTCTATTAGGTTTCATGCATGCGGGGTAAAGGCTATGCATTCTGACGCAGCCAAAGTTAAGCAATAATGACAAAAACGCGAAGGCGCGAATGTAAAAAGAACATAATGTATTAAGGAAAGATTAATTCTACCATTAGAAAAAAATCAATAGTTCATTGAATTCAGTAAAAAAATAATAAATTCTATTACAGATGATATTTACTTTTTTCTTGAATGAAGTTAAGAAAATTACCTTTTACAGTCTGCTTAATGTTCCTGCTTTTGTTTCAATAATTTTCGGTCATTTGCGAAATGTTAATCATTAATTAAATAATTTAAATTTAGTATAAGTATTGGTTATACATAATGCTGTTAGTACGTAATAGACCAGAGAGCTCACTGGCTATTATAAGTGAAATACGACCGACATGAAATTCGATAAAAATCTACCCCATAAAAGTTTCTTGAGCCTTCAAAATATGCAAACGCAATGAAGTTTTCTTCAGAACAGACAGTAGTCTTTTACGGCACGTTTCTTCATTACTTATTTTTTGAAAATTGATCTGATATAAGTTATTCATAAAATTAACTATACATGCAATTTTAAAATATAATTATGAACTAACGGTTTTTAAACTACATAATAAATCTTACAAAATGTATTATGAATATTATTTATGTTCTTGAAATGTGAACAAAAAGGAAATCTCTCTCATTCAATACATTTCCGTCAGAGTGAGATAGCCCAGATCTTAAATTCAAGATTCACTTCTAAATGCATCAAAACGTACGTTTGTTATTTAGCAGTTTAATTGACGAAAGAGTTTTGCGTTATCTCTGCCTATTCGCCACTAATTTTTATTACTCCAAAGACAACGATTCCTTTTCACATTCGGATTCAACATTGCTTATATTGAATATTTATGATTAGTGTGAGGTAATTGGCAACGTTTGGCCAGTTTTGAATAAAGCTACAGAGTTTGGATATCTTGTTCTAAATTAGAAATTTGTTTTCACGGCAAATGAAAGACGAGATATCGCAGTAACTTTGTGCACATTCGTTACAGAAATACGCAATTGGCAAATATCAATCCTCGAATTTGATCTAACGGGAGTATCATAAATTCATAACATTAACAGTGTATATGCGCTTTTTCCCTAAATCTGTTTATTCTCACTGCCTATAAACTCTCGCTTCTGGGAACGAAGAAAAAAGTCGCTAAATGTTTGTTGACGAGAGTGCGGCTCGTCTGAGATAGGTGTTTTCATGCCATCAGTTCACGATAGTATCCGAAGAGTTATTACTTTTCCGAAGGACGACATAAATTCGCCGTTTACTGTCGAGATCGAACCCACGCGCTTTACGACACGTTTACGACTCAAACATGAAATCTATTTCATCTAGACTTCGAGGAAGAAACTTTTTTTTGAAGTTTTAATTTGTAACAGCGAAAATGGGTATGTGAAAACATGAAGTAAATCAATAATAAAAAATAAATAATAATCTGTAATAGATTTTGTGATAGTAATACTCGGTTATAATGATAATCAACCAAATTCATATATTATTCATTTAAAGTAGTAAAATTGGAACTTGATAAAAGTATTTCTTTGACATACGAAGATCCATAACCATGAATGTCGTATTGCTAAAACAAATATTTTTGTAAGAAAATGTAGGTCATTCTGTTAGTGACTTTAAAAAGCGGCTAATAGAATTTATAATCGTCAATAATTTTCATAGTTTAACTGAATGAATGTTATTGTAATGTAGTTTTGTGATAATTGATATTAACTTTAAATAAATAATAAAGTGTAGATGGTAAGAGAAGAGTTATAGAGTATTTACGTCAAGACTATTACTAATTACTTTATTATTGTGATTTTTGTTACTTACTCATTTTTCTATTATTGTTATACATTTATTTCATGGCTAAAATACATTTCATTTGTACATACTAGTTTCAGTGAAATGTTTAATCAATGCCACTAGTATATATGGTATAAAGCCTCTGGTGATAAGTTACCGAACCTTGCAAATATACTGACAATTTACTGACAAGCCGATCTAGTTTGACAGATTATGATAATACAAATATAAGTCTAGAATTGTGAGTGGTGACAATCTAAAAAAATCAATTGAAATTATGCCTATACGTATAGGAAAAAAGATGTTTCGAAATGATAAAATATTAATACTTATCGAAGTTATAGATTTTAAGAATATGAATGGATATCGTTTTAATCGTTAATTGTATATCATCACAAATAGTTCGTCCCAATTGCTTTAGATATTAGCGTTTGAGTGAGAAAATACTTTCGCATTTCTGAATATACCTACACGTTACGAACAATTTGATGGAATAAAAAAGGAAAATATAAACTACGCTAGACTGTGGCGAGCATTCCGCACTTCGTAAGTCGAGTGAAAATAGGTTTACACGAGACCCAACGTTTAACGGTCGATCTCTAATTTGCGATACAGAATTGTGGGACCACTTCTGTGCATGGATAAATATTATAATATTGCTAACCGTTTATTAACCAAAAAACACTCACGAGATTCAACTGCAGAGAATATCAGATAGTAAATTTAATTTTAAATAATAATTTCCAGATTCTGCTCGTTTCTGACCCCTTGTTTCAAAAAATGAGCATACGCAAAGGATCTAAGCCACCAAACATGCAACAGAATGTTTAAAAACACCTCATTTTGAAGAAAACATATCTCGGGGTCCACTTGTTTCCTACATATTTCCCAGCATATTTCTCAGCATGTACCCCGCATGTTCCCGGCATGATATCTCATTTTCCCAGCACGTCCTCCTAATGTTGCCAGGCACTTTTTGCGTGTATTTGTCGGATGTTCCCTTTTGACTACAAGTACTCCGCATGTTTCCACACACGTTCTTTACTTTTTCCGCTCAAATTGTTTGAATGTTCAGCAGAATGATCTCAGCATGTTATTCACTTGTTATCGGTTTGTTCCTCCGCGCGTTTCCCACGATGTTATCCAGCAATCGCATCCCCATATCCCCACAGATTCCCACTTTCACAGTAGTTCTCCAAACCTTAAGTGAAAATTAAACGGAGAAAATCTAGATATTTATTTTGCATTTTGTTATAAGAGGTACCTTCTTAACCTCGCACGGTAAAGTACGATGTCCCAAGCGGATGAAAAACAATTGCCAGAGATTTCAGAAGAGTCAATCGTCCCAAAGTACAATAGAACTCAAATGTTTGCATTTTGAGGAATTCTGCTCAAGAAGCACAAGGATTCATAACGAGGTTTTAAGAAGCTAGTACGCGCCGTTTTCGAATTATGCACAAATGTAATGTGTGTTATGAATTGCATTTGTTATTCTAAATTCAAGATGTTTTTGTTCGTGAGGATAATAAAATGTTAAATTATTGAATTTGTCACACCGTATGTCCTCGAGTCGCTACTAATTCTCATTTGTGACATTCCATTACGTATTTTTCATTATATAGGGTAAACATTTTTCGCAATCTTTTCTGATATATCATATAGAGAGACAATACCGTGTGCCTGGAAATGCTACTAACATTTGCAACAGTGAAAGCAGATGACAATGATGAAAACACAAATGGTTTTTAAAACCTAAAGTTGTCACATTCATTTAGATAAATCCGCAGACTTTTTGATGGCTTTTTGTTGTCAACGTGTATATCCCGCGGATCAACAAGACTGTTTGTTGTGCGTTAAATAAGTGATATATTGACATATCGATTCTCACACATGGGTTGCGAGAGAAGTCAATATGAATATATACACATCCGCGCATGCAAAACACTCAAAATATTTTATGATTCATTTATAAAAGAAATAAAGCACTGAAGCATTTAGAATATTACATTTCAGAAGCACAAGAACGTGTCGTATCTAACGGTAATAATTTGAAAACAGAGGTATATGCTATTGGAAATACTATACAACTCCTGAGGTAGTGAAGTAAACATTCAGGAAGATGAAGTCATAGTTAATGAAGAGTATAAAGCGTTCTTAAAAGTTCTGTAAAATGTCCTAAGTCATTATTATATTTAAGATTTGTTACTTTCTCTTCTTACCCGGTCTTCGTATTAGATTACATCACTGACACGATTGCAGTGGAAATTCAATAGTTTCTGGGGAATGAATGAAGCATGACATGGCAACTATAAAAACACACCGAGTGCTTTATATTTTTCTGAGTCACTAAAACGGGTCGAGGTATCGACGAATGAGTACACTGACCTACGATCCGTTTCGTGTTAGCACTCGGCGCCTGGTGTTAGGCAACCCGTGAGACGCGCGTGCTCGGAGAGTAGGCTACGCGCAGTTCAGCAGGCGCGCGCGGCGGGAGGGCCGGTGACGACGTCTCCGTGGGCGCAGAGGCGGCTGCGGAGGCGGTGGCGGCGGCGCAGTGCGGCAACGCCTCGGCACGCGATGCGCGTGGCTGCGACGCCTTCGCAGGCTTCATCTTTCTGCCACTGCTACCGACTCGCTTCACGAGACTACGCGCACGGGGAATTTTGAAAGAACGGAGGGACCCGACCAATTCACGGAATGTGCATGGTTTGCCAAAATGAGGCGTCTTACTTATTACAAAACCGAAGCTACAGAGAGATGGAATATTTTATACAGAAGTAAAAATCACAATGACACAACATGGTAATTCACAGGCGATGAAATGAGTGGAAGAAAAGAAAATCTAAAAAATAAAAATGAAATAAAGAGAATACAAGGTAAATTGGTAAGGCTAATAGGAGTGATAATTATGTAGGAAAACTACTGCAAGATACGAAAATAAATTCAAAATAAATTTAGTTGTGTTAATATTAAGATTAATTGTGTTGTGGAAAATTTACAATTTTCCTCAATAACACTCGAGGATGATACATACAATTCCAAGAAAAGGAAATCGTCCTTTTTATAGAATAGAATTTACAAACATTAGCGATACGTTACACAGACTGGTCAGTGGCTAAATGAAGTTGCTTATTGTTATGGGAATGGGCTCCAGCGGCGGAGGAACACCACCTCTTCATGGTATACGAACGTTCACCACACCAATAAGAATAATGACCGTAGTAATTGATGTCTCCAAAAACATCAAACATTCAATCCAAATTTTGTTTCAAAGGGAATGAAAATGAAAACAAGAAGGTAGGAAGGCAAATGAAGACGCATGAGTAAATGACCTCAGAAATGGGTTATTAGTAATTGGAAAGGGAAGGAAGGCAACAGGAGTGGCTACAAATCAATGAATAATTCGACATATTTCGGTTATATCTGTTAACGTACTTACGAGAATGATGACCGAAAAATTGAATTTGAGTTTATACATGTGGTCCCAAATAGTGTGAACCACCACGAGTAATATTGATTACCAAAACATTTAATTATCTCTTAGAGATTTTATATTTTAGAGTGTGAAATCGCTTTCTAAACTTTAAAAATCAATTAGTCTATTTTCTCTACTATCGTAAATACTTTAGTGGTGTTAAAGAATGCTCTATTTACATATTTAGTGCAGTGTTTCTGAACAGGGAGACACCTGTACACATACTGACGCAGTCAAAGAAGTATCGTGTACCTGCTAATCGCCAGTGCAGAATGATTTGCCTCCAAATCAGGGACGCGATGCTCAAAAATATGTTACTTCGTTACTTCAAAACTCCCTCCATATGATCAAAGTAATCGTCTTCGTCTCCTTCCCATGCCCTAGAAGTTTGTACCATTTGCTTTGAGACCTCCAGCCTATCTAACGTCGAATATTGTTTCTGAAGCCCAGATGCGTTGTGCCAGCGGTGTGGCAGCTAGCAATGCTCACCAGAGGTACCAATTGTTCCAGAAGACGAGCGCCAGCACGGGCGGCGGCGCCGGGGGAGCCGGGGGCGGCGGACGCGCTCCCGAAGGCGGGTACAGCGCGCAGCATCCCTGCGGGCAGCACTCCTTCGGCAGCGGGCATCTGAAGAGCACGCCCACCAATCGCCTCAAACAACAGCCCCGGAAGGCTCATCTACACCGCAAATGTTTTCTTTTGGACAAAATGGTACCGGTATTGGTATACTTATGAGAGATATCGTATCTGACCTAATTTTAGACATTTGTAGTAGCAGCCTGTTTTCATGGTAAACATATTAATATTAATGCAGAATACAGGTGACTCCCAAATTCAACATTTGTTCGTAATTTTACCCAATTTATTCAAAACAAGTCCGTATTGATAGTATCTCATCAGAGAATTATTTCCGATTAGTGCAACTAGGCAGCATTTCAAGAAGAAATTTTGTTTTAACATGAATTGTCATTATTCTTAAATGAATTTATGAGGAGATTTAATTGAAATGTCTCCTCGCCAGTTCTGAAATACTTTTTGGATTTGTCTGTGGAAAATGTTACACAGGGTTGAAAAATCTTACTAAAAAATCAACAAGTTTAGTGCCATGGGGCTGGGTCTAAAAATTTTGTAAATATACTTTACAACTTCTTTGATTCTAAAGTTTCGGTTTCCTAATTTTATATATAAATACAATTATTATTTGAGTCCTAAATTCAGCATGGATTTCAAATGTAACAAAGAAATTATTTTAAGAATATCCAGAACTATAAATGAATCTAACAAGGTTACTAAGTGAATGTTGATTAAACGTAACGTTTTTATTCGTTAGATACGAAACTTTCTGTGGCTAATCCATCACTATCTGCTCTACTGCGTCAAAATAACTAATTAAATGTATAGACAATTGACATAAGAGTCATGAAATAGTTTTGTGAAGAATGCATGTTTACCAGAACACTATTCTTCCTCAATTCAATGCACTACTACTTTGTGTGGAGCTCAAATGGCAATTGACGCGCTTGTTTTTTAAGAAAGCGGCCGATAGCGTGTTACAAAGGGTAGTTATAATAATATGTAACTTATATAATATTATATAATATACTGATTTGCTACAACGATGCAATGATATCGATAATAGAAATATAGGAAATCTATTTTTTTCTGCTTAACATATAAGGAGACATAAATGATTTATTCATCATTATCAAACATAAATGTACCAAAACACAAAATATTCCAAAGAACACTTACGTCTGGCCGCCGTCACAATACTTGGAGGTTGCCTGAAAAAAGAGAGAGATTACCATAAATGTTACTTACAAGTACTTTTTGTCGTTCATAAATAAGTATGATGTTATTATTAAATGTGTATTCAATGAATATGAATCCACAATGTAAGGAATTAAATTAAAAGACACTGAAATACAAGAGAGCTCTTGCAAGACGAGAAAGAATTTTTGGTAATATATGTTTTGAATTCATCCAGAAAAATCAATATTTATCGAAGACTAATAAGAATTATGTGAGATGTTTTATAAGATTTATAGTTATTGTCATGAAGGTATTTCAAAGTACTCTGAACGCCTAAACTATAACTATTAGAATAAGGGTTAAATATTGATATTTCCTCAACTTTATCTACAGAAGATCTTTTATTTCTCTTGTTGCCACGGTAGTTTTGCAATTCACTACAAAAAAAACTGTAATGCCTGTAGTAACATAATCGATAAAATGACAGAAAACTCCATCACAAGGAGAGTTCATGAGGAGAGTAGAGGTCATAAAAGGAATGTGAATAATGGGATGTCAAAACTAATGGGCTCACGCAACGCTGGGCTGTTTGACATTGTCGCTTCTACACTTTCCATGCCGTTGGTTACAGAAGCGCTAGTTTGGTAAATTTACCCTTCGTCGAATGCACATTCTCAACATTAATATCAACAATACAAATTTTGAACTTAAAATAATGACTATTTTCTATTAATGTGTTTACTTTCTTTGTGAATGAATTCAGTTTGTAATGATTACCTCAAAATGCAGGGTAATTGTCGAAAAACGAACATTTTTGCTTCTTAATTTCATTTAAAGAGATATAGATTATCATACATTTTACACTCTTTTCTATATTAATTAGTGAACAATACGTTTCACCTGATACATTATATTTTCAAATACGCTCGAAAAAATTTATTACTTTCTTTTGAGTTTTTTAAAATTATGTACTAGTTCATATATAAAATGCTGAAATAATAATTCTATGTCACTTTCACTGAGATACACCAATTGTGATATGATTTTGCAGGAAGTTTTTGCATATCAGCGTAAGTGGAACGTTTCTTTAATGGAATATGCAGAAGAGAAAGCCTTGCCACTAGGACATTGAAATCATCTACACATCAAGGAAACTCAAGTTATGGACAAAAGGAGTGAAGCGATCATTTGTCTGATATTTCAGAATTAGTGATTCACACTGATGTGATCCCATGTGTATAAAATCTCTTCGCAACTCTCATATATAGCTTAAATTATTTGTACGGCAAAGATCCGTACTTTTCCATTTCTCGTTTCCCCAGTTTCAATTGTTTGGTTTAGATGGAATTTGAAAAGTTTCATATGCGATCACGAATTTGTTGATCATCCATAAAGTTGAAAAACGTAATCGTGAAACAATTTAGGAGAAATCTAAAATATATACAATCAGACAAGAGTTTTCATTTTATTAGTTTTTTAGATATAATTTATTGCTAAATGTTTGTTTGTTTAAGTATTAGTGATTATAGAAATACTAAACAGACTTTAGTTTGAAACCTTGATTCTATATTATTTAAAACTACATTTAGTGCAATTACTTTTTTCTGCCTGCACAATGATTTTGTAGATTTCACAATTTTCATTTTTTTAATATTTGAATTCATGTATTATCGTTATTCTGATCAAGTTCTAAGTTTACAATTTGACAATTATCACTTAATAATTTTACAAAATATACTCTAACGTATTCCTATTCAGGATGGCGGAAGGCCAACGTGACATGTTTTCACGCATTATGATTTGATTAGAGGATGTTACAAGTTCTTTATGTTCTATGTTCTTTATGTATTATTTGTGTATATTACGATATACGTTTTACTTTCTCGTATATGTACTTTCTGGTTCACATTATACAAAACAATATACGTTGTACAGAAAAAGTTATATAGTTAGGTGAGGGAGATTTGATGATTTTTCGAAAGAAAAAATCATATTCAACAGAAAAAATGGATAAACTATGATCCAATATGTAGTAAATTAATTCCTCTAAACGGTTGTGCAGTCGAATTTCACAATTTCCAGGCTTTTTATACAAGGAAACTATTTTTACTTTCCCGTATACGTACGTGTATACGGAATAATATACGTAATATAAGGAAAACGTAATATAAGTTATGTAATGCTGCGGAAAATCGATTACGAGATTTCAACGGTAATACACGTTTTGGGGACCCCTGATACCCAAAAAGATTTTTTTCCAAACGTTCCTCTGTCCGTCCTTCAGTCCGTCCGTCCGCCTGTCCGTCCGTCTATCCATCCATCCGTCCGTCTATCCATCCATCCGTCCGTCTATCCGTCCGTCCGTCCGTCCGTTCGTCCGTCTGGTGTATGTGAACCACACTAGCGTCTAAACCATGCAAATGATTTTATTCCTAATTGAAGACACCCCTGTCCATTTGGCCTGAGTCAAAATTTGCGATTTTGAAAAACATTCTTCGAAATTTGGGGGTACATTACAAGAAGTGTTTCGGAGATTTTCAAATATTCCTAAATTATGCTCCAATTTTTTTTTTTAAATTTCATAATAATATAGTAAAATACACTTATTAAGGTGTCTTAGGTCCGATTTTAATTTAGGTCAGAAAATTAATTATAGAGATTGTTCCTTCAAATAAAATGTATTCCCCATAGTGAGTTCTTTCATTAATATCAAGTACATTTTTTGAAACTTTTAGTAGTTTTCGCGCAATATTGCGTGCAATATGTGCAATTAAAAAAAATTAAAAACAAGATTTTCTCAAAAAAGTTCCAAATTTTTTCTTTAAACATTTTAGTATGGATAGTGCTAAATGTACTCTATAAGATTACATAGACGTCGTATTGTTCTATTCTTTTGTTTTTTGAAAAATAACAAAAATGTACTTTTTTTGACTTGTCTTTCACGTTGGTAATATGCACACTAGCGTTGATTTGTTCACATTATTATATTTATGAGTACATGTGACTTAAATAATTTCAAATAAAGTTTGTCGAAAATTCATACGTTTTCAATGAGTACTAGCTCAAAATTCCGCATTTTCGGAGAAGCTCAAACACTATTTTCTCAAAAACAACTCCATTTTTTTCAAACTTTTAGAAGGGAAGTGCTAATTGCTCTCTTTAATATGACGTACAGTTCATTTCGGTGTATTTTTCGTTTTTTCAAAAAGTACACTAATATAATGTTTTTGAAAGATCTCACGACTTTAGTACGAACATTTCCAGAGATTTGTAAACATTATAGCATGTGGCACTGAAACTGCTTGAAATGACTTCTTATGAAGTGTTTCAAAAACTCAGTAGTTTTCTGCGAAAAGAGGTTCAAAGTTCGCATTTACAGTAGCGCTTAAACACCTTTTTTTTTAAAAAAAAGGCTCCAATTATATATCAAAGAAAATTGCCATTTAGAATAAGGTTTTATTGTTATTTAATAATCTTAAAATAATATTTCGGTTCTACAATTAGGAAACCGAAAAATTAAGAAAATAGAAAATACTACTTTGAGCGGCGATAGATGGCAGCTGGCAAGAGTAAGTGGCAAGTGCGAGTAGCTAACCGACACCATAAGAAATAGAAAACTAATACGGGAAATTCTGTGCCATTCTGTACCACCACAATTTTTAAAACAAACGTCCGCCGGTCTGTATGTCGTATGAGGACAACACTAGAGCCTAAAATATTCGAAGAATTTTATCCAAAATAAATATTCTCGGCTGCATCTGGCTTGACTGAGAGCTCTGAAATTTTGAAAACTATCTTTGTATTTTGAGGGTACCTAACATGAAGTATCTAGGACTTTTGCAAACTTTTCTCAACATTTGACTCGTTTTATTACTGAAATGATTTTTGATTGCAAAAGATAATATTGCAATGCGTCTCAGACCTACGTCATCACTTACATTACCTGAAGAGAAATCGCTAAAGGGTGAGTAGTTGACAAATGTACGTGAACAACGATAGCGACTCGCAGTGAATGGTGAATCTATATTTTACGTTATTTATTTTAAATCGTTTGTAGTTAAAAGTTCGTGATTAGTAAAGGTAATGATTCCCTTGTTTAAATGGTCGAAATCAGCCAATTCCGAATATTTTTTTGTCAAATTATTAAAAAGAAACTGAAATTCTAATTTCTTGATAGTGATGAAAGAAAACAATGTTATTTCCATTAAAATATAAGATATTCTTCTATTAATATTCAATAGTTTTAAAATGAATACTAAGGTAAAATTTTTAATCAGTTACGTTCCTCGAATTTCTTTGTGACAGAGGATAAGATATGTGATATGTGACCTATCTGTACGAAGGAAACTGGAGAATTTGCTAAGACACCTCGTTTTCGTGCTTTAATCTGTTCTAAAATAGTTATTCAAATAAAATCATGTTCGTTTTTTTTTTTTTTTTGAAAAAAAACGAGTTTTCTTGAAATTTTTGCTTGAAGTAATGAAAGTGAAATTTTTTTCTAAAAATTGACTCCATTTTTTTCTTTTTATTCCACCCCCTAGGATACCGCAAAGGACGTTGAAAACGGCGCAGGAATAAATTTTGTTGAATAATTTGAATTTTCGAAAATTAGAAAAGTTATAATGTGCAAAATATGAGCTGTTGTAGCATCTCAAGTTCTACTCTGCTAGTGGACCGAAAATTTGAAAAATGCGGAAAATTATATTTTAAACACCGTTAGGAAGGTAAACTACCTAGATCCCCTAGGGAGAAGGAGCGCGGTGGCAGAAGCGTGGAGAAAGGTGCGTGACGGGAGGAGCATGGCTGGATGTGGGCGCGGTGTGTGGAGTGTGACGAGGAGGAACGAACTGAGATAGGAAGAGTGAGGGAGGCCGAAACAGATGTGAAGCTGCGAGAAAGTGTGTCGAGAATAGTGAGGGGAAGGAGCGTGGTGTGAGGAACGCGGTGACGGAGGAGCAGGGCCAGTAGAGAGAGAGGTGGGCAGAGCCGGACTGGGGGATCGAAAAGATGGGTGTCCGAAGAAGGCAGAGGGAAGTCGGGCCGGGAGAGGGCGGAGTTCGGAGGAGGGACTGGGAACCACTTACCTCCACATTGAAGGGGCGCGTGTGCGCGGAGGCGGCGCCGGGGGCGGCGGAGGGCGGCGCTGTCATGGCCCACGGCGGCGGCGTGCCGCCACCTGCCTCCGCGCGGCGCGCTCCCTACGACAAGCACACACACACACATACACACACGCATGTACTCACTCGCGCATGCATGCGCTCGCTGCGTGCGCGAGTGTCTTGCGGGCGGTGCAACGTCGCAGACTGGCCATGCATCTGCCATCTACGAGTTTAGCGCCCTGGTGCGGGCATTAATGGGAACGCTCTTTTCCTCCCAGCTCACGCACTTTCCTAGGTAATATAGCATTAGAAAGTAATGAAATAAATATTATTCTCTTTCAAGTATGCTATGTCTTTGTAAAATTATTTTCAAGTTTAAGATTGCCTTTTATTATTCATATATTATGATTATTTATTATTGACAGTTTTGTTGCAGTATAATGGGATTAATTGATTAGAAAATGTACTTTGCAACATTTAAAAACTGTCTATAATTAAGGGATTTTTAAACTTGAAATTTTCTTGGCACTTTTAAGAAAGAAGGAAATAATGAGGTTTGTGATATTGATCAATGACATTTCCTTTTATTTTCAGAATAGTTTACCACAGAAAACACGGTTTTCGGGTGATTCTGGTAAAAAGAATGTGAACAACAGAACTATGCCTTTACATACGATGTATAATTGATATTTTTCAACGTAATTACAAATATTTCAAAAGTTTACTGGAACTTGAATCAATATCCATTTCCATTCTCGAATGAGATCGAAGTTACGAGTGCGTGAGAAAGACACATACAAAATACCAAAAGCACACACACACACACACACACACACACACACGCATACATACACACACGCGCGCGCAAGTGCATACACAGAACACTTGATTTATGAGAAGAATCTATTGTATGCAAAACTTCCTGATATTAAAAAAATGATATATAATGTAAAACAAGTGTAATTATGAACTGATGCCAACATCTCATACCCACTTTTTCTGGTATGATTTGAAGTGGTGTAGGTGAAGGTGAAATGTCTGATAATAAGTGCAATATCATGAAAAATGAGCGAGCCGAAAATATCTGTTTTGACGTCTACAAAGTTTGCATTTAAAGGTATCAGTACAAGTAATTCTCAGGTAATTATCTGCGAATGTAATGTACTTATGAAACTCAATGGATTTGCGAGAAAATGTGAATTAGTAACTGGAATTACTTCATTCACATAGACAGGAACAAAAACATGACTCTATTTAAACGCAACCTTTCAAACTTCGTTGTCACGATGCCTAATATTTAAAACTCGCATTCGGTTATATCTCATAGCGAACTCTGAAAGACATCATTTACAAAACATTATTTGTGTCTTTTTTTAAAAATAAGAACTATCGTTCATGTAGTGTTTCTTAAACATTTAAAACTAGGATTTTGAGACTGAATGAACTTGGAACATTTGGCTCAAGGCTTTATTGTTTCACGCACAATTTTGTTTGAGAATATTGTATATTCTTGTGATTTTCCGTTCTTCTCCCTAATCTTTTATTTGCCTAATCCATTTCTCGTCACACGACTGGAGGCTATTTTTTAATTATCAACAATTTATTTTATCTTACTACATTGTCTCTGATCTGGAGGGCCTAAGTTCGAGTCTCGCCGGTGGCAGGATTTTCGACACTAGCTAGAGAGCTAGGAAGAGTTCAGTCACAGACAGCAGGAGAATTCTAGCGTCCGGCTGCTCTGATCGGTAGTTTCCCATGGTTTCGACGATCAAAACCAGGCGAATGCCTGAGCAGTACCCTAACAAACGGGCCCCTGACCGCGCCCAATCTCTCCTTCATATTTCTTGCCCTATCCTTATCGCTTACTTACACACACTTAGACAGGCATGCACTACTCTACACTGCATGCCGGGAGACCGGTTGGGATCTTAGAGCTTGACTCGGTTGGGGGCGGTGCCTCGCTGGTGGGAGATAGCTGTTTGGGGAAAATCCCTGTAAGCCGACTAAGTCTCACCAGCCAGCGGGAGAAGATCACCGCCACCTCCCGAGGGAAAATGCACGACACATACGGGAGTAATGACCTTAGCAATAGGTGCGCCCGCAATCATCAGTCAGTCAATCGACGCTTAAACTGACTTCGATGGTGAAACGGCCTACGTAGCGGGACTGTTACATCGAAGTACGTAGATTGAAATTCGATCAAAGACTTGGATTTGTAAGGGCGAAAAAATCCTTTATACACTTTTCTTCGGACGAGAAATAAAGCTGGCTGCACTATGTTTCAGATTTACCGCAAGTAAAAGATGCTTCTCTAAAATTAGTCATCTGAGCATAATTCTAATCGCCTGTTTCAAGTCTCAAACAATACCTTTTTTCTCTACTAGATGGTGAAAATGTAGCGAAATCTGCGTGGTCAGGCTTAAGAGCAGGCCTAATAGCCTGAAACTCACCCCTTAAATTAAAGCTGAATTGAATTGTATTGAATAGAATTGAATTGAAACTCCCGCATTCAGAAGCAAAACCAACCTGAACTCTTGCAGTAACATTCATTTACTGTTTTAAAATTTAAGTAGGCACGTTACACTTTCAGGAGGATAATAGATTACTAACACATTCAGAAGTTAGACTTGCAGACGGAAATTTGCATCGTGTACACCTATCGTACTGATATTAATACTAACAGGATACTTTACACGAAAATTGATAACTAAAACAGCACAATATTTACATCCAGAACAAACACAAGAATCAGAAATTCCAAGAAAGAAAACGAATCAAATAAGATATGACATATACTTAAGAAATTAGGACCACAAAGAATCCCATGAACGTGAAAGTGCATATTATACAACTCTTATTCATTGTTTGTAAAGATTGTGTCAAAATCGATTTCTGAACTTTACACATACAATCTCGAATTAACATTTAACGAATATTGTTTATGCATTGCTTCTGCATTACGTAAAAGAAAAAATAATGATTTAATCCCCTATAAATGTTTGATGAATTTTACAAATTTATATTAATAATCTATATCAATCTATATCAGTTTTCAAACTTTTTTCGCCCACGGCTCCCTTGACCTAACCGAAAATTTTTACGGCTCCCCTGGTAACAATTAGTTTCAAATATTCGGTAACAATAAGTTTCAAATAAAATTCTTATAAAAATTAACGGGAAGAATGGGCTTGTCCCTTGATTAACATTTGTTCAAATCTGGGTTCAGTATTTGAAACTGCGGCTTTCAATTATTTTTCGACGTTCAATATCGATCTTTGTTTGGTTTTGAATAATGCAAACTTCAAAATATTAGCTCACATAAGTAGGATATTGCAAAAGGAATCAAAACTCGAAGGGCCGTGTTTCCTATTTGTGGATACTCCTTTTTCACCAAACTCCAGGCCATAGCGAGAGCTCCATTAGTACACACGCCTTTACAATACTTCCATTTAACGTTGTTTTGTTTCATAAATGAGTTCACTATTTCAAAGAGGTCTTTAGTTTTTCCTCCAAGAGTGATATTCCTGCAGAAAAAAATATGTTCATGTAACAAGATATCATTAATGCCCCTCGAGTAAAAAGTTAGATGCGCATAATTGTGGCTCTTTGTAGTTCCACCCAAGTTAATGCCGAAATCTCTTTTTTTTTTTGCCAGTTGCAACCAGTTGCTTGGCAGCTTTGCTTTGTTACCAGTTGCTTGGCAGCAGATTATCTATAATAATAGACCTCATGTCTATGGCAGCTAGTAGTACGAGTTCTTCAGCAATGGTGTGAGGTTTCTTGCTCTTTGCTACGCGGTATGCAACTTTGTAATATGACAGAAGGAACTTGTTATGTATAGTAGTTTGTTTAGTGAATGTTGATTACTTGCCTAGCAGTATTTTTTTCGGCTTCTGAGAACGTATTCCCGAGGCTTATTTACCAAACTTCTAAGATTTTACTCCAAATGACGTTTCATTTGATTAGGAAATATGCTTTCACTCGACACCACTTTCAAACAAATATCATTGTAGTCGTTCTTCTTTTCCAACAATAGTACACGTTAAACCGAAGTTGAAGAAACTGCCATAATACTTAGTCTACTATTGTTTTTAGAATCGCATGAACTCTCTCCCTTTGTAATATTTTTTTTAAAATTTATCCATACTGACGCAAAATTATAACGGAAGACAGAGAACGTTCTGCTTTTGACGTAACTGACATTCAACTGCT